AAAAAAAAAAAAAAAAAAAAAAAAAAAAAGAAAAAAGAAAAAAAAGACCAAACAAAACAACCCAACGTTTGACTCTGCCTGAAAGTCATCCTGCTTTTTCATCCTGCTTTTGTGCCTGGGATTGCAGGTGTATCATTGCTAAGCCCTTTCTTTCTCTCTTGGAGTAGACCAGTGACACAACTCCTCTTCATGTATGCTCACCAAAGTACAGTGCTAACAGTGATGGAGTATTTCATCTGAGTGGGCCTGTGTATAGCTGAATGATTAAAATGTGTTCGATTTGGACAGAAGCACTTTGTAAAGCAAACAAACATTCATGGAAACTAGGAAAAAACTCTGACAGTTTAAAGAATGTAGAAAAGTTTGTGTTCTTGCAGTTCTGCAAACCAGCAAAACTACCTGAGATACATTAACATGTTCTCCCCTCCCTCAACTCTCCCCACAGAATGGCTGATCATAGTGGCTGCTCTTGTGGCACTGGCGTTGATACTTGCAGTGTGCATTGCTGTTAACAGTCGGAGAAGGTAAGGTGGCCCCTTTTTCTAAAGACCCTGTCGTGCTATTTTCTTCATCGAGAGCCTTCAAAACTTTGTGATAGAGCAGAGTAGCATAACACAGGAAAGACCTTCCTCTGAGGAGCTCTGTGATTTGGGATGTGAGGGTTGAGATCACCATGTCCTGCACAGGTCACACATCAGCCTACAGACTCATGTGGAAGCACGTGAGGTCAGTAGCTGTATAAACCATTTGGCCTTTACTTGTAGATGGAAACTTACTGTATACAGATCACAGAGAATTAATTATTCTCCACCTGTTACTTATTAAACGGATAATTCTGTCCACTGAGAGTAATACCTATGTGAGATGGACATAGCAGCAATCACGAGATGAGCTCAGCATAGTCCTCCACCATTAACAGGGTTGTCTGTGTACGGTGTGAAGGGCTGTATTAGACATTCACTGTCACTGGGTTGATTTGTTCCTTCCAAACAAAAGGCAGTATCACAGCTGGCAGTCACAGGGATATATTCTAACATTGCTATCAGAGCACTCAATAGCTTTATTTACTCCACTTTACAGATGAAAAAGCTGACAAATAGAAAGTTGCAGTGATCTCTGCAAAGTTAGCCAGGAAATTTGAACTCTAGCCTAAAGGATAGGTTGCAATGCTCTTAACTCTTTCTTTTCTCTAGGGGCTTTTCTGAGGTTACTTCTCAATTGTCTTAAACAGCTTTTTGCTAATTCAACGTTAATGTTGAACCCTTTAACAGAGTAACTATTTTCTACTTGAATGTTGAATTTGAACTTTTTTATCAGAGTAACCATATAATATGTGGAAATTTTTGTTCAGGAAGCAGTGAGCAAATTTGTTCTTAGTCTGCTGGTTGCAGGAAAGCACGTTAATGCTTCTGTGAGATAGAGTCAAGGTCCTCCGAAGTACGTCATGGGTGCTAGAGCAAAGCACTGCCACTGTGGTGGGGCAGTCCCTGCCCATAATGCAGAAGGCTGCTAGTGAGACAAAACAGTGCAAACTAAATGCCAAATTGTCAGACAGAGTAAACTGATCCAGTTTTGCTGAGGTCAGTAGTGAGATGCCACCTGGTATGTCTGCCCTATGACTGCATCTACAATATCAGTGCTTCTCTGACAGTATTATCAGAGAACCGTTGAAATAAGAAAGCTATCAAGCATATCGTGAGAGAGAAAACTCTACAACTTTCTTTCTATGAAGTGATGCTGGAGTTACACAGGCTGAATGTCATGGCTTGTTGATTTATATGTTATTCTGTTAGGCCTTTAAAAGTAGAGACTGCCATTGTTTCCTCCTTAACCCACAGTCACCATAGGAACAGACAAACAGGCCACTATGGCTAATTATAGATTGCATCTGACAAGAAATGAAACCATCTAGGAGCTGTAAATTATGCCTTAGATACCAATAATAGAAAACATCTCTTTTACTTAGAGCTTCCATACAGCTGGGAGTGAGTCACAAGAGAGAAAGTGCATGTGGGTACATGTATGTGTACAAATGCATGGATTAGACCCTAGTAATATGTGTTAATCTCTCTGAGGAAAACTTTTTGAAGTAAGGACGTATTCTGGTATGCTTGAAACAAGTGGAATTCTTTCTTTCACTTTAGCAGTATCCAAATGATAACATGAATAAATCAAGAATCCTTTCTTCATCTATTCTGATAAGTGCCAATACACTGAAAATTCCTAGAAAGGTAGTTGCTGTGCAGTCAGCATACTACACATGAATGACGACTAATCTGAAACTAACACATGCAGCAGTGCGATGAGAAAATGGGACAATTGAGAAAGGAGGATTGAGCACTGCAGTGTTAGCTGAGCAGGAAGTTGAGAATGTTTCAAACATCAATTTATTTAAAAAGTGAGAACAGTCTATGTTTTTATTTGTGTAATGCTGTCAGTTGCACCATTTTTTAAGTGAATGCTAACTGCAGCATCTCCAGTGTCATTCTCATTTGGTTTGTCTGAAAAAGCCTAATGAAGAGTAGGCCTTACCTTCAAGGTAGTTAACTTCCTGATTCCAAATTCAATAGGTTTAGCCTTTCTAGTTAGGAGGTCAATACAGCAGAGTTCAAGCATTTCAAACAAGCAATTGGGGCTTCTCAGTAAATAGCCAATTGCTTGGCTATAGTAAATTTTTTTTTTCTTTTCTAAATTGGTGTTGTCTTAAATTATCTTAACCAAAAAAGTCACAATTCAGTGTGATTCTATTTAGTTAGTTAGTTATTCCTCTTGTTGCAAAGAAGACTGCCTCTGTCTGGTGCCTGTTGTAAAAAATGTGAGGATCTCCTTCCAGGGTCCAGCAGAAGATCCTGCCCAGCCTGGCCATCCTGTCAGGAAAGACTCTGAGATGCTCTTTCGAGAGGCTGTGGAGCTCCACAGCTCCTCGCTGGCCTCTTCTGGCATTTCATGTCTGCAGACCAGGAATCATTCCCAAGGGTGTGTGTAACATTAGCACAGTGAACTGATCTATTTCAGATAAAATAACACTCATCTATCGGTCAGTAAGCATGAAACCAGTAATATTTCAGTAGGATAACAGTATAATTAAACTGCCAGATTAGTCATTCAGGCAAAATAGGCTTCATTTAAGAAGAAAGCACTTTAAATTACAACTTCACAGAGACACTGTCCCTTTTAAGAGAGCTGCTCTTTGTATATTCAATTTCCACAAGGCTGTTTGAGGACAAGTAGGATGTTCAGCACTGTGCAGCCAGAGAACCAGTCTGGGGCAAACCTGACAGCTGTGTAACTAGTACTTTTTCACTACCTTGAATACCCAGCCCATGTTGACCAGCATGCATCAGTTTTAGACTGGTGACTTTTTAGAAGAGTGTGAGTTTAGAAGAAAACAGAGTTTATTGGCAGCACTTCAGTGAGTGTAACTTTCAAAGCACAGTAGTTATTTCCTACGTTAATATTGTAAGGAGCTATGCTGTTGATAGTAGCAAGAGTAGTTCTCTGTATTTCCTTGCTGTTGGCGGGCTTCTAGGCCTAATGCAAAGATGGAAAATGTTATCTTGTATGATGAGGTGAGTGCTTGATTCACATTTTCTGCTTTCTCAAGAAGTCTGGATTTAGAATGGCCCTGTCCCCTGCAATATATAAAAAGTTCATAAATGTGGATATATCCAAATGTTAGAAAATCTATTCTAGCTTTCAGAAATGTAGTAATGACAGCTACAAATCGAATAGTGAGATCTGCCAAGTTTTATGCATATAATGGTGGAAGCTTTAAAATATAAAATATGCAATATGGAGAAACTTTACCATTTGCATTGTATAAATCTGCACTGGCAGACACAAGTTTAATTTCCAAACACCTTTTCCTAAATATTGACTTTCAGTTTTTCTCTTATTTTTGATAGTCTCCATTTATAGTACTTATTTTCTTTGTATTTATTTCTAGATGTGGGCAGAAGAAAAAGCTAGTGATTAACAATGGCAAAGGGGCAGTGGAGGACAGGAAGACAAGTGGATTAAATGGAGATGCCAGCAAATCACAAGAAATGGTGCACTTGGTTCATAAAGAACAGTCAAATGACCGAACAGGAGCATGTGACGAATTCCTGACCGTCAATGAAACACAAAATCATCAGGAGCTTGACATGAAGAGTGGAGTGTAATGGTACTAAGTTATCAAGTAGACCAGAGCTGGGGAAATCAAAATCACATGGAACTTGGACAGGAATTCACAGATGCACTGTGCTACTGATGTCTTTTGAACATAATTAAACATAAGTTTTATTCATTTCTAATCCCGTTAAAATGATTTCTGAATTACAAAATTGACATTCACTTTCTGAAATAAGCCCCCAAGACTTGCATAATGTTCTCAGTTCTCAGTTCCTACACAGAAGACTCTCACTGTGTCCTGGGTGTTAGGAGGGATCCAAATTTACATCATTGCTCCCCAGATGGAGGGTCTTCACTGTGCAGAGCTAAAGAAGTATCCAGTCACTCCATCTTACAGGCATTTAAGGTACTAAACTTGCCATGGTACAAGAGTAAGTGAGGAACAAATGTCAAGAGCAAACATAAACCGAAAAGGCCTCCTATACAATGTCTAAACCATCAGAATCGTTCAGAAATGCCTTCCAGCCAGAAAAAAAAAAACCAAAACAGTAGGTGCATTCAGAGTCTGCCAGCATAAACAAAAAGTGATGTTTTATAGTGATTTATGGCTTGGTCTGCAATGAGGGAAACCCAGAAGGACAAAATTTATTTATCTCTATTTTCAAATGTCTATGGGTGTACAGCAAGTCTTCTTGGGAGGGGGAATAAAGAGATGAAAACATGAGATATACATAATAAACTTCTATATTATCCTAACAATCTGTACAGTTATCCTTGAGTTTTGAGGTATTCATTGCTCTTCCCCCTCCCTCCTTTATTGATCATGGTTTGTGCATGTTTTTAGTGAGCCTGTTAAATAGTTAGGATGATGAATAAAACAGAATGACCCCAGCTCGATCACTCATGCACAAATCAAGCAATTGGAGATCGTTAGAGAAGATGACAGTGTTTTATTCCTGAAGAATAGGTCTCTATCTTCTGCTCCATTTTACTTAGAAGATGCTGCCCCTTAAAACTTGTTTCCACTGTAAGTATTACGTTACACCAGTCTGCTGATATTTTAAAAGCTGCTTTTCTAGGATCCTGCTCACTTCCTCTGAATTCTGTTTCATCCACGTTTTTCCCTCTGCTTTTTAAAAAATACTGAAAGAAATATTGCTTGCTAATTGGCACCAGAAGTTCAAATTCTACAGAAAAGATCAAAGACAATGAAAGGAAACTCTCCCAGCCATGCAATATAGTAAAGTAGCTGCAGCTGCATTGTTACATTATTTTGTTTGTTTTGTCCTTATGTGTCTGTTATGTAAAGTATTTGTATTAAGCTATGATGCTGTGCATTATATTGACATGAATTCTCAGAAAGAAAATTATTTACTACCAGTGGTCTGTGCCATTTTTAAGAAAATGTATTGGAAAGGAGTGAGAATGATAACTTCTAATTGGGCTGCCTCAAGAAAATGCAAGTAAAAACAGCCTAAGGGAATTGCAACCAGTGGTCTGTGTCAGCTGTGGGATGGGGAACGTCCTGTAGCAAGCTTATTCGGATGTTCCTGGTCACTGACCGTAGCACCTGTCTTTGTTCTGCTAAAGCATGTGATTTCATGTTCTCCATCTGAAGCAGTCTGGAGGATGAGTATCTGGTTGGCTAAATACTAACATTAGCTAGCACTGATCCTTACTGGGACGTAAAGCACAAGATTGTTGATTACATTTCTCAGTCACAGCCCTCCAGCTGTTTCCCATGTGTTTCATCAAGTTTGCTCAGTGCCCTGGTATCTGCAGGCAGATCTCCTCAGGGTAAGCTTACGCCCGAGCAAACAGTCCCAAGACAAGGTGTGGTTTTAAAGTACACATAGGGGGGTTTCTGACTTTACATAGGTCAGCATGCTTTGTCTGTGAACAGTCACACAGCTCGTGGTCTGAAGGTGTTCAACCAAAGCTGAAGCTAATGGGGTCGAGGTGATTTACACTATCAATACCTGTGGTTCACTGTCAAACTTCTCAGCCTTCTCATGTATTTTAATACTCAACTGTGTAGTGGGAAGTCTGTTGACTGTGTGCATTGATTTTTGTTTAATTCCGGTAATGTTTTTAAGCAAGCTTTTCTATTTGTCATTACAAATCAACATGATCTGTCGAAGGCTAGTTATGGCTATCCAGAGTAAGAATTACTCCTCTCTTTAAATCCCAATGGAATATAGGTCTCAATCAAAAAGAGATATTTCATTGCCTTGAAGGCTAAATTCTTCTTTTTAAAAAAAAAAAAAATAAAAGAAAGAAAAAGGCTGTGGCATGTTATTTATCTCCCTATTCAAATGTATAACAGAGAAATCCACAAACTCCTTCCTAATTTATCTAATGTTCAGTATCTATAAATGCATGGACAACACTGGTTGGCTTCTTTTTATATTTTTAAATAAGGAGATGCTCAAGTTTTACAGAGGCAATGCTATTTTTTTATATATGCTGATCCTTTTTAGATTATGTCATGTGATTCATGTGTAATTAAATTTCATTATAGTTTCAAAACTAGATGGTCATTTAATATGTGTAATATAGTACTTATTTTTATTAATCTTAGTTTTATTATTGAGGGGATGTTTGTTGTGTGTATGTGTTTTTTATAGAGAGCACTTGATATAATATTTGCATATTTATTTAACAGATTAATCAGAATGAAAGAAATATCATCTCTAAATTGTAACTAGAAATAGTATTGCTAAAGCCACATTAAACTGTAAAATAAACTTCCAAAAATAAACTTGATTCCACATTCAGCATAAAAAGACAGGCATTATCAGTGGAAGACAGGCACTGAGCAAGATGGTGAACCAGGGCTCATTTTTTCTGCTTGCAAACTCTAAACCAGGCTCAGCTGAATGCTGTGTGACCTTGCCTGCTCTGCCAGCCTCCCATAGGCTCCCTGAGTGCTCTGGAAGTTAGAGATTAGCTCAGCATCCCCCTTGAAGCAGACAGCTTGGTCTGAATTAAGATTAACCCGGTAAGAGCTTGATGACTATTCCTGGCTCACTTAACCAACGGCATTTGGGAGAGTGTGGCACGCAGCAAGATCCAGCCCTTCCTTCAGGGTGCTGACAGCCTACCCTTGGTGCCTGGGAAATATGAGGATATCTCCTAAATACGCTGAGGAGACCAGGCTGGACCTAGGACGGACCCCGTGATCAGCTTGTGTTATTCCTTTGTCTTGAACAGTTTTAAATAAATGTAATCCAGACCACCTCGCTCATGGAAATACTGTCTAAAGCAGTAAGCATATTTAAGAGCGGGACCGTGTGTTTCATGAGAACGTAATATTTTCATCAAACAATCCAGAGTGATTGTCTCACCTGTATTTTTCTTGAAGATCTTACAAGGAATGTTTGAATAAAGCAGAGAAAGGATATATGGCCATCACATCTGCCTGCATGGATGTTACACTTTCCACAACATCAGTTTCAAAATTATATTTCTGCACAGTGTTTTTCACGTGGTAGGGATGTTTTGTGTGTTTCCTTTGTCAACATCAACAACAACAACAGCCTCTGTACTAAGTAGTTTGAGCCATGTTGCCTGGAATATTATTAGGAGACAATTAACCAAGTGTCTCTTCAGCACATGGTTGGCAGAGACAGTGGCCAGTTTATCACCCTGCTTAGGGCTGGTCATAATTACTCTTTCTGTAGGGGAAGGAAAGAAATTAAAGCCTCTGGCAACTGTGTTCTGCCTCAACATACGCAGACACCAGGATATTTTGTAGTCCAACAGTTAATGGCTTTATTTTATGCTATATTATGTTATTAGCTACTAATTATTTCTTAGCCTTATTAAACAATTCAAGGTTCTGACTTCTCTGGCTGAAAGAGATTTGATCAGTCAAATACAAACACTTTGGGGTTTTCTTCTGTGGAGGGGAAAAGGACAAAACAGTGGCAGGAGAAGCACTGTGCTGGACTGTTCCTTGGGCTGCACTTCCAGCTGTGTGGGAGTGGACAAAAACCTTTGTTCCTCACAGGGGGCTGGAATTGTGCAGAGATGTTTTAGGGGTGGGAGCTCCAGGGGATTAGGGACAGAGGGAAGACACAGTTGCTGGGAAAGGAAGTAGAGGGAGAGTGAAATTTCTGTGCCACTGCTCGGAAAGTCCCTTCAACACCCCCAGGACTTTGGCACTTGAATGTTCCGAAGCTCTGAGAAGGAAAAAAGAATTGGCCTTTTCCTGTGAAACCCCCACCTTCAAGTCACCCTCTACATTCACCATCTCATTTGCAAACTCATTTTGAATAATTTTCCCCTGGTAGTTTATTTTTCTTTATTACTGTGCCATGCTGCACAGGCACCCACCAACAGCATGCCAAGGGCAAGCAGCTGTAACGATGAGAAAAGAGAGGCAAAGTGCAAATTTAGCAAAGATGAGTAACAGTGTCTTCTGTACAGCACAGAGACTGTACTTTTTGCACTCCCTGTCTCACCCTTTTGGAGTAAGGTTAGCAACAGAAAGGTCTTGAGAAATTTCTCCTCTTGCTCATCTTCCTGTTTTTAAAGTAGCAGGCTTACACGGATCTTCACATAGGTTAAATGTGTGGCTGCACAGTTTTTTGAAAAGTTGAAATTGAAGAAACGAATCCATCACCAAAGAAGCCCTCCTGACCTCAAGGGAGCTGATTATTGTTAAGTACAAGTAAATCAGAGGCAGTCAAAGCTTTACATACACTTTAAACACAGCCTTCTTTCAATTTTGTCTGGATGTCTCCAACAAGCATTAGAAAGGTTTTGCCTGAGCAATAGCTTCAAGGAGTCTTACACTTTTTATTAAAACTTCTTTCTCTGCAGTCGAAAAGGTTTTGGTTGAACACGTGGATAGATGAAAGCCATTTTCACACAGTCTCTGCCACACAAATCTGTGCATTGAAGACTGAGGTCAAAGTCATTGGTTTTGTAGTTTCTTTCAGGAAAAATAAATAAATAAATAAATAATGAAGTTTTGGATCAGACCAAGTCCATAAAGACTGTTAAATGAGAATATGACTATTTTCAGAAATAAACATAGTTTTAGCTAGTTTTAATATTCCAGGTAGAAGATCTAGCTTTGCAAAATTGCTCCTTTTTTTGTTTGTTTGTTTTTTAAGAGTCACCATGCCTAACAATATATCTTTCCCTTTGTAGAAAATGGAATTCTTACAAGTTATTTAGTTCCCACTGGAAAAAAAAGCCTGTGTAAATTTACAGTAAAAGAGGATTTGTCAAGTCAAATAGGATCTGACATAAATTTAAGTGCATCTATCAGAAAACCCTCAGGCATTTTTTAGACTATTAGGGTAAAGTCTCACTCTGAAACACCCACCTAACTCAGACTTGAGCTCAACAGCAGCTTTCTTCTGGCACTGAAGGTGAGGCAAGAGGCTGCCTTGTAAGCAATGCCAATAGGAGTGAGGGGTATGTAGGCTGGCGGTGGGAAATCACCATACGGCTCATTGGCAGCGGAGGCTCTGTACCTGAAACAGGTCCCAGCTCTGCTGAGTTAGTCCTGAAGTCTTTCAAACTCCTGAAGCAACCCAGGACAGAGGAAGATGTGAGGATAAGGCATTTTCCAGCTCTTCTCCAGAGGCTGTAAGTTTTGTACTGGGCATCTGAAAGCCTTGCCTCAGGCAATCATGTTAGGGTGGGGTCAGCATTAACGCCCATATGCCATGTTGCAGTGTATAAATGGTTTAGTTACAGCAGAGTTTTAACTTTAGCTCTAATTTTATTTGCAGTCATTGGTGTACATCTAGCTTCTGGCACCACATATTCAGAAGACTTTTTTTTTTTTCTTCATATCAAATACTGCAAAAAACCCTGTTTAGATAATTTTCAGTGACCACATTTTCCTCGCATGAATTGAGACTCCATGCTATTGTTTTAGTCAGAACAAGCAGTAATAAGCTGGGTAAGTTTTGCCTCCTGATCAGATGTTAAGTCTGAGTTTATTGTTCACCACTTTTTATCACCCTGCTCTTTTTAATAACAAGCACCTGGTTCAAAGCTGCTGCTTCAGAATGGTAGCAGCACCCTTACCATAGATAGCTCAGAGAGACAGTTTTCAGCATTTTCAGCCTGAGTCTGTAGGATGAGTTTTTTTCCAAGATGGGCCTGTCATAGATGAGCCCTATATCCAAGACACAGTGATCTCAGCTGACAACAGCATGACAAGGGAGAGAAAAGTTTTGCTGTGAGTGCTCTGGACTTACAATTGTCAATGACACAAGCCTCACAGCAAGCTTCTGGAAAAATTATGTTGGGTTCACTTTTCAGATATACAAATGATTCACTCTTTTGGCTTTATTCAAGTACTGGCAATGTATTTCTAAATGCTGCCTGTCTATCTGTACCCTGGTGTGCAACTTCATGGGGTTTGTTTTACTGTAGAACTGTTTTACAATCATCCACTCAATTAAGCATGTTTTGTTTTGCAGCAGTAGGTCATCAGATTCACCTGTGGAGACAAGTTTATAGTTATTGGGTACTTCCCTGAAATTCATTTTCTAGTTAATGTTTCTTTCATTCAAGAGAAAGTCTGAAATGAACTCTAGGTAAGGGTGCTTGTTTGTTCAGCTAGTGATGTAGAAACTAAACTTACCCTTTGTTCAAGAAGGGTGGCTTCCCTGCCCTGTGCAGAGGACAGATATAAAACCTACCCGTTGGTTACATGCCACTCAAAAATGGGAGAAACTGGGTTCAGAGATGGCTCAGAGGGTCAGCCTGCTGCGGATTAGCTTTAAAGGTGCATTTCTTCCTCAGGGACCCTTTTTTAGAGCAATCCTTCATTCATATGCAGTAGCGCCTTCCAAAATCCTTGCTAAAAAGTAAGATAACAAAGCTTATTTGATCCTGGCAATTTAGGCAATACCAATAACCTAGGTGAAACAGTGGACTGAATTTTGAGTGCATTTCCTAGCCTGTTTGCTCTTCTCTCCCCTTCACAGCTACCTTTACTCGCATGCATGTCTTCACAGCAGCATTTCTCAAGTGGAGTCGGTGGACCACGGGAGAGTGATCCGTGGAGCGCCTTCAGGCACCCCAGCCAGAAAACAGCCAACGGAGGCAGATCAGTCCTACAAACATCTACAGGAAAGGCAAATATATTTTCAGTTCAGTCACAAGTGAGAATGAATAGCCCGACACTGTGAAAGACAGACCCTAGGTTGCTTTTCTAAATATTCATACTACAGAAGCACCATAAGCAGTGTGAGGCCTCATTCCTCCGGATCCCATCCCTGAGAGTTTCTGTGGGCAGCAGTCAGCTTTGAAATTTATCTGTTTACGCAGACACGGTTTGCTTATCGCTGAAGAAACCGGCTGCTTTGCTCACACCGCCGCGGCCGCAATCCCTGATCTTGCATGCAACCTGCCTTCCTTCCTGTGCGGGCCGCGGCGGGCGGGTGCTCCCATTGCTGCTGGCCACGCAAGATGGCAGCCGGCCTCCTGCCTCGGCCGCCGCAGCCTCCTGCGCCTCTGCAGGGCTCTGAACGCTTCAGGGGGGCTTCGGCAGCGCTGCAACAATGACAAACCCTGCCAGGGTTTGTACGTTCTTACAGTAGAAGTGCTGGCTGCAGATGGCTCTTGCTAGCCCAGCTGAGCATCATTTTTAACACTGTTTTCCTCCTAAAGCACTGTAAGTTGGGGCCACCTGTTTCTTTCATATGCTTGTCCTGTTTACATGTACTGCCTAATACAAAGGACAGTACTAAGGGTTAGCAACCCTGAAGCATTCTCTTGTTTTTTCTTTCATGCCTAAGAGAGGGTACAGAAATATCTCTTAATATGGGGCAGTGATTCACCATGCACCGTCTTTTATAGCACCTTACAGCATAAGCTTTCCTGTAGAGGGACACATTCCAGATAGAAAGACACTCCTGGAATAATCTTTTTCTCTAAGGCTGAGGACATGGAAAAAGAGGGGCACACAAGGGGCTTGCAAGGGCTTAGAGAATCAGCCTTTGGGTCCCTTTCATTTCCAAAGGGACATTATATAACTGCAGAATTGGCTCCTGCAGGGGTTGGGGCTTTTTTAGGTTGTTCTCGCCGTAACGTTGCTTTAAAAAAAAAAGCAACAAACATAGGTCACAGTGTTAAGCCTTTCCTTTCAAACTTTTTGACATGCTGTGTAAAAAAAAAAAAAAGAATAACCACCTTTTACGGAAGGAATTTGAATGCACACAGTGCACATAAAATATGTGAGTGATGGGGAATCCTGAGTGCAACACACTTCATCAGGGGATTTTATGTCAGCAGCAGGCATTTATTAATGACACTGTTAATGAGGCCAGATCAGGATGCTTCTGCCTCTGACAGGAAGCAGCAAGGTGTTACAGAAATGGCAGCAGATAGCCGGGGCCTCAGATTTATCTTTTGCACAAAGATCTTCCTAGTGCCACATCAGGACTTAGTCCGTTGCTGACTCGGGGCAGACCGCCAGCTGGAGCCCTGCCAAAGCCGCTTCCTGACACGCCTGGATTTTCTTTGGAAACTGCTCAAGCGGAGGCTGGCCTCAGTTAGATTAGTAAGAAGTAAACCCAGGGTTGTGCAGACTGTTAAACCTCACAACCTGGGTTTCGGTCACGTGTCTTGATCACACAGGAGTAGTTACACTATTTCTGTTATGTGTGCTACTCTGAGCGCAAATGCCAGAGGTTTCTCTCAATACTTAGCAGCTGCCAGTCCTCTGGGCCATGGTTCACTGCATGAGCAACTCTTAGTTCATGTATTAAATAGATTTCTTTACAAAGCGATCCAGGGGTTCAGCTACAGGCTTTATTTACTATTTCTTGAGAAAGGCTATGAGGAAGAAATTTATTTTTTAGCGGCCAGGGGAGGGAAGTAGGTTTCTAAAGCAACTGCAACCATTACATTTGTATCCTCCTACTCTTCTAACATTTCCTCCCACTTCTCTACACTTCATTGCTAAGAACGTTTTAGTGCACCCTGGCCTTTGTGGCAAATGAGCTCAGCCGCAGCCGGCACCTGGGAATATATGGAGGACACAGTGAAGGGTGAGATTTCTAACACTTTGGCAAAGTCAGGTCCATCTCTACCCTGCCTGCAGTTTTCAGAACAGGCAGCCCCTCACATCAGACTGCTTTATCTGAACTCCTACCCAAAACATGCCCATATTGAGCGCAGGCTAACATTAAAGCTCATAAGCCATGAAAATTATGAATCAACATTTATTGATGATATGTACATAAGAGGTACAACACTTAGTGAAATATTATATTCACTACTATTTCCAATACAGAAAGAATGTCTAGTTTGTTTTATACATGAAAGTTACAGAAATCGGTGCACACCGTAAGAAAGCATTAAAAGCAAATGACTACCAATCATTGTAAGGAGGAAAGGATCTGAACTACAAAAATAGACTCAGTCAATGAGGCATTCCAACTACCATATACAAGAACAGAGCCCAGAGTTGGGAGAAATGTTATCATCTGCATTCATTAGTTTTTAAACAAACCGTGCTACAGATACTGTACAGTATGTCATTTCAAAATCTGGGGAACTTTTTGAGTGCAAGGAAAAGATCAACCTTATCTCTCTTCCTTTTTTATCTCTTTTACATGAAACGTCTCAAAAGGTTCGACCTCATGCCTGGTCGCTTTTAAGAGGGGCATAGAGATGATGAATAGGCAGTGCACGGTACTGGAGTGTGCAATTCATCCCGAAGCCACGTAACGGGACTCACCAAGCAGGATACTGCCTGTGTTTTAGGGCCTGAGTTTGATCTCTTTCTGCTTACAGGGGATGATTATATTTATGACATGCAAGCCCGGGGCATCTAGGAACAAACTAGTTTCTTCTTGCTGTCCCAAGCTCTTTCAGAACCACCTTCAGGTTTTGCCCCAGAAAGGTCTTATTTTCTCACAGATCTGAACTGTAGCCCTGATTTCAGAAGATTTTTGCCACTGACTACATAGTTGACATATTTGTTTCATGATCATACTTTTTTTAAACAACAGGCCTGTACAACAACCACAGTAGCTTGAGAGAGAAGCATTTAGCTTTGCATTTAATTTCCAGTAACTATTGATATCCAAGAAAGAGTGCACCTTTGCTCATGAGTGTATTCACTCAGAGACTGTTCCTGCTGAGGGGACAAGGCAGAGGTTCCTGCTTTGACTTCTCGGGTGCTCTGGAGAGAAGTGGCAGCCGCACCTGGCTGCAACCTTGCCCTGTCCCAGTCGTGGGACTGTGCTTGCTCTGCCGGCGTCTGTGCTCGAGGAGGAACTGGAAATGACTCAGAGCGATCCTGCGATGCCGTGATGTGACTCAGGGCTGAATGATGCGCAGTGCATAACGAGTCAGCCAGGACATCCGGAAGGAATGCAGTTAGATGGATTTCCCCTGATTCACTGTGCCAGTTCAAAGAGTGACTTACTAATTTCTGGTGATAGAGAGTCCCAACATTTCAAGCAAACAAGAAGAAAATAAAACAGGAACTAACCATTCTAGGTGAACGTTAATTCTTAAGGTCATAACAACCGCATTCACAAGGCAGCAAATCTATGCTGGAATCACTTTCACTCACTGCCAGGGAACTACACACATGCAGGTACTAACACATACCACACTGGTTAGATAGCTGAAAACTAAAAATAACATATTTACAATAAGTTGGCTGCATTTATGATGTTGAATGTTATCAGAGCAGGATACTCCATAATAGACAAATAAAGCAGTTACTAAGCTGTGGAACCTAATGGGCTGAAAGGTCAAAAGGAAACAAACCCAGACACAAATGAAAAACAGAAAGTAGAACAAAATTTTAAAGGACGGTCTCATTTTCTACTATGGCTCAATACACAGAAACCAATTAAATTAAATTAAAGCACTGCTACACATACTGTATACACCATTTCACTGAAATTACATGTTGATAGCTACATTATCTACACTAAGTGCAGAGAGGCACTGGACATCATGCTTCAACAAAACATCAAAACTGGTATCAATAAGGTTTTACAGCTATTAGTAATTCAACACTACTCTACCTGCAGTTCCTATTAAGATAATACCCGGTACATCTGATTTAAAATAGAAGATTAAAATACAAGGGTGTATCAACACACTTCCTACATGTATATCTACTATAAATTTAGTTTCCAAAATGTCAGCAGAATAACATGGCCCCACAGATTTCTGAATAGTGGAAGAGAAGTATCAGTCACACTGGGACAGCAGTACTTGCTAGTCAATGTTTTCTTTGTTTTGAATCACAGTCAAAGAGCTAGTAGGCCATAATATCTATATATTTTTTGTGATATAATTGTTATGAATATTTATATTATTTTTATTCCTCTTAAAACAGTTCCTTGTTAATTAAATAGAAATTATTACAGCCACGGCCTTAATGCCAACAGGTATTTGCCTAATGGGAACAGATGACCATAATAAAGAAGCAACTCTCACTTTTCCTGGTCAAAAAATATAGCGGTTGTTCTCTTTAAAATACATAAGAAAGCAGGAGGTATTTTGTGCGATGCTACCCAATTACATTGGTCCCATGGTGGTTCTGTTGGTCCCTTTTCAAGAAGGCAAAGGTAGGTGCCCACCCAAATCACGAACTCTTTCCCCAGGCTGAACACATATACACTGTATCATAGAAAGATGGACTGGGTACCTGATAGCATATTTTTTGCCTGTCCAGATCTCCAGTTTTCTATAAACTGTATTCTGAGTCAGTCAATTATATATGGTCAGACCCTAAGAAAGAATTGCCAGATTTGGCAAAGGTAACACCAGGAAAAATGACAAAAATGAGGGACGATTGCCCAAGGCAGTCAATCTAGAAGATTGTTCAGATTATTACAACATTGTTCCATAATGAACTGCAGCATTTAAGGACAACTTGAAATTCCTATTTGCTCCTTGCATTTTGTGCTTTGTTTATAATGCATCCCTAAACATAACACAAAAATATTTCATTGATCCTAAATGTTATAAGAAACTCGTTTTGTTCTAAGGTACATATCACCTTTAAAGGACTAATCCCCTACCTTTTATGGTCATATAGAAAACACTGTAAGAAAATATTAGTGTGTCTGTAAATTACAGATACTAGGTAATTTAGTTCAGTCTACACTGTAGTTTCCAGAGAACATGTACAAACCCCTAAAACCTGTATTAATAACTACATCGGCATTCAGCATATAATATTTAACAATATAAATACATATGCAGCTTTTTCTCATGCATTCTACAAACTAGAGTTCACACCAGATCATAGGAAATGGGATATATTTAAGAAAAGATCAGGTTGTGCTGGATGGAAGCATATGCAATTGACTTTAAGAAGGAAGGACAACCTGTAGTATACAAGAACTCACAAGCCCATACAAAACACCAAAATGGAAATGCTATAGTCTACAATACCGACTGCAAAATCAATTCGTAAACACAGTTTGCACACAGTCTTTGAAAAACTGTAGAAAAAAATAGAAAAGAATGATACAAAAATCCCTGCAAACTATACTATTTATTTTACAAAGCAATATACAGGTACCATGCAATTCAGGTTGTGTGATGCTGCCTACAACAGTTTCCCTTCATGTAATGGTGTACGCCATAGAGCATCATTAAAAACAATTGCAGGACTCCTGAATTTTGAAAAATCAGACTAGAAGGATTGGACACTCTGGCATCGATTGGCTTTGGCTCTGCAGCAGAATGTAGCTAGAAGTGAAAGGGAATGAAAGGTCGGGTGAAGTGAGAAATGTCACAAGTCTTTTTGCCTCCCCAAATCCCTCATTAGCCTGTTGGTTATTTCCATCCTGGACTAATAGAGACCTACTCAGTGGCTCAGTCATATGCTTTAGGTTTTTTCAATGTTTGGATCCTGGATTTTCTGTAAGACTTGTAGTTGCAATTGCACAAACACCTTATCCACTAGGATTTGTATCATCATGGTAGAGGGAAGTCACCAGGCTTCCCCCGAGCAGAGGAAGATGTCTCTGGGATGGTGGGCACATGTGAGGGATGATTTCCTCAGAGCCTTGTGCCAGGGAGCCCAGTCAGACAAGAAGTAAAAAGATTAGCAATGCCTGGACATCAGCAGCAGTTTGACTCATTCATAACAGCAGATTTCAATTGTATATCAAACACGACCAGGAGGAAAGAATGAAGGAGGCACCCACTGTCCAGTCTGTCCCCAGACAGCACTGCTGGGGACTTTATCAGAGCCCTCCCTGCCTTAGGTGTGCAGAATGGCAGAGTCTGTGCTTTGAGGGCCACAGAGAGACACAGCCTTGCTGGCTATGTGGTGAGAAAGATCAATGGCTTGGAAGGAATTTATACTACATACATTGTTTCAGGTAAATTGTGAGCAAGAACATAATGCTTCCCAAAATAACATGGCAAAGCTGAACAATTTGTTTACAGTTGGACAGCCTTCTTTGACACTTCAGTATTGCAAACCCTTTTTTTTTTTTTTTTTTCCATTACTTGAAGCTACACTCTCTATATATCATTACTCAGACAAAGGAAATTGGGTACATATTTTTCCTTCAAAGTCATCAGTATGATAGGAGAGAATAAAATAACTCATCTTCCCAAGAGTGCTTTCTGCTGGGAATAGGAGCTTTTACATAGTCTTATATGGTGATTTATAGCTGAGGTGAATTGTCCCAATGGACTACACACCTATCATAATAACTATTAGGAAAAATATCTTAATTGTGGCCTTAGAAGTCACAGTAATAAAACCAAGGATAGTCTTCTGGCTCATAACAGAATAATATTACAGTACAGTTTTATAAAGTGCCCTTATTTATCCTTCTGTAGATTAATTCAAATGCAGCAATAAAAATAGATGAATGGAACTTAATGAAATGAGAAAGAAACAATTATATCTTTACATCTTCACAAAAGTATTCTTCTGAGCCTAGTGCTAAAGCTCAGAGACTTTTTAAAGATAATTACAGAAGCGAATGTCAGAGGTGAGGTGTAATACTGCCTATGGTTTTGGGGATTTGTGCGACTGTTGCTGTGTTGCTACAACAAGGCTGCAAACAACACAAGTGAAGGCGAGGAAGCAAAGAAAATTCAGGCAGTTGCCAGAATAAATTTGTTCAAACACTGCTGCTGCAGCTCCTCAGATGAACAGTCTGCTCTTCTGAGTATCTACTGCTGGAAAACTAATGGCCCTGAGAGTGACGGAAAACAAATCAGAAATCTGTATTACTTGTACATTTTATAGTGGCGTAAAGTTTGGAATGCCATGTGCTTTGAGAAAGAAATGGAGATGTGCTGTATCTCAAGGGAGAAAGAGAAAAAAATTTAATGATAGGTACCCTTATTTTTGTGCTGAGTTTTAAATCCATTGCTGGACTTGTAGCATAGAAACAATTAGGAAAAAAAGCATCATCTTAGCAGAAAACTTTTGGATGTGAGAATCAATGTCATTATACATAGCAGACAAAGACTATTCCCTAGGATGGGATTGTGAAATGCCTTATAGCTTAATGGAGACAGGAAAGGACTTGACCTTTCCTGGAAGCCCGTGACTCCCATAGATTTCAGTGGGGCTTTCATGTAGTCAGAGCATTGCAGGCACAGGTTTTACTACAGCAAACAGTTTTTCAAAGACATACTGAGTTTCTCACCGATTCAAATGGAAGGACCACATCCCATAATATGGTTCAAATGGCTTATCCCCCACCTATCTGAAGCACCTTTGTGTATAAGACCCATGCATGTTTCTAGTGCTGATGCAGCCTTTGTGTTCTAAGGGAAGCAATGAAGAAACCAATTCAGCAGCAAAATGCTCCACCTCTTCTGCAGTTTTAACGTACAGTGTGCTTTAGTTCCAGCGAACAGATATTTAGAGAAAGCTGACCTACCTTCAGCAGTAAGTGCATAAAGCAGATGCATAAGCATGTACTTAATTAAGCATGCAATTAACTGAGCCTTCGCCTGGTCTAGACTTTTCCATGTGCCAGTGTGCTGTCAGCAATCCAAAGGGCAAAGGATGGCACAGTTGCACAGCCAAGGGCGGGGGGAACCAACAGAGCAGCAAATGAGATGAATGTAGAAAGAAATGTTAATTTGCTTAGGAATGACACAGAAAACATATCACTTTCCACCATGCTTTAACTTTGCCACCCCAGCACTGCAAACAAATACAAAAAATTTGCCAGATGAAAATTAATGCAGCAACATTCCTAGTGAAAACTAAAAAGAGACTGGTCAGTAACCAACACTGCCTGCTGAAACGTGAACCCTGTATTAGCTGAAGTGGCCGGTCCCTGGGTTATTTTCTGTTTATTTAGTTAAGTAGCAACACAGCCTCATGTGGAATGAGCAAATCGAGAAATGCAAGCCAAGAGTGTGTTACATTTTCCCAGAGAAACTGAAAGCTTTTTGATGGTTAAATACAGTGCTGCGCTGAAGTAACACTACATTAAATATTCAGTCAGGCTAAAAGCAGAGGAGTTTACCAAAAACATTTCTCCTTTTCTTATATCCACATTTAAATATAGAAATACCATCGTAATTATCTTTTGAAACGTCCCTGAGTTACTGTATCTACAGAATTACTATTTTAAAATCACAGTCTGCTATTCTAGTCCTATCAAAAGACCCAAATTTATTCTCCCTTGTGTGGGTGGGGTTTCTCTAGTATCTTATTCCTTCCTCACCTAGTCTCCATCTAAAGAAGCACTCTTCAAAGGACAATACATCCCAAGTGGGTAAGTGAAAGCATATTCAAAGTGTTTCTCAATATGTAATTTTGTGGAGCTGCCGAGTCACATTGTTGCTGGCATTCCTATTTGTTTCCAACTGCTAAACAGTTTCGAATGACAGCTAAAACCGTATGACAGTTTCCTAAAGCTACTTTCAAGGCAGGCAATCAGTGTGGCTGCTCCTAAGAAACTGCTACAGTGAAGAGGATGGAAATTCTATTAATGAGCGAGCTGTGCCATGAAACAGCTAGAGAATGCTGGATATAAACCGGGGTAAACACTGCATGTTATTCTTGGATATATCTACCACCCAAGTCACAGCAAATTTCACTTGATGTGAGCCAGCACACTCAGACTAGGGAACATTCTAGAGTACCCACACACCATCCCAGGAAAATTTCTGGCACATAACCCAGTGGTAAAAATGTCTTCAAATGCAAATTCAGAGAAGCAGCAGCTAGCTATAGGTTAACTCTGGATATGCCAGATGAACCAATGAATGAAGAAAAGAGAAGGTAACCTGTGCACCACTTCTCTGAATATCCTGTAATTCCATTTCTCACCAAAAAAAAATTCCTTAAGATGCTTCAGGAGGCCTCTGGAAAAGGTCTCCACCTCTAATACATGTTAGAGGCCTACAGAATTCACAGTGGTTCAATATTTGTTAAATTATATAGGCCATTTTGCTTAGGACCGTAGCCATGGCGTGCAAGTGAGGACAAAAGTACAACGGCAAGAAAATTCCATAACAACAAATGCTTAAATGAGGGGTACTCTGACAATGGACTTGATCTTGCACATCATTAATCATGCAAGTAGCCTTGGCTGGCTCAGGTCCATATGCATGTTTGGAGATATTTATATGAATGCAGATGAGCAAAAGCAGATTATATTTATATTTTAATAGCTTCTACAGAGCCAGATACCACTCTACAGTTAAACACATTATTCCTGTTCAAACCCACAACAGGTCTGAGCACAGACACAAGATGTTTCAGCTCTGTTTTCTGCCACTTTCTAAGTTCACTGTATGCTGATATTCTGATTCGTTCTGAGAACCCCTGAGAGCTCCCCCCAAAATTGCACAAAGCTTGTTCTGTGGGTCGAGCCTCCAAGGCCACGTGGCTCAGCTTTGCTATAGAACATTGCTAATAGTGTAATGGCATTCACCAGTGTCTTAAAATTGCTGAGTATTAACAAGCACCTTTAAAAACACTTCACAGGGTGATTATTGTGACTGTAATTTCTTCTGACAGGGTGAGTCAGTTGTACTATATTTACAAAACACCATCCTGTTAATTCAGACGCCATGTGCTCTAAGAAACATTTCTCTCACATTAGAGAGCTACATGAATTGTTACTCTGCAAAAGAAAGAGAGATTGTATATTCAATGTACTGATCTAAACCCTGAAATTCTGATTTATTCTTCATTCAGTCCTAACCCTGGCCAAATTCTATTAACCTTATATGGAATTTGGCTTAGCAATGAATTCAGGATTTAGCCAGTCTCTGAAATAGGACATATAACTGAAAGATGGCTTTCACTTCATACCAAATGCTACCGATGATCACATCTAAAACCTCTCTATTTCTTAGAGTAATGGATTCAGAATTTGTTTATAGCTCATTATTAAGTACTCAATCAAAACATCCATGATCAATCTTAGTAGTATCTTACTTGAGTAGTCCTGTCCACATATGGAATCTCTCCAACATCAGTGGAGCAGGGTGAGTCGTAAGGTGCTACCTACTTTGATTAAGAATAGCATTAACTGAGCCCGTGGCATTCTGTATTTTGTACATCAGGCATAGATTTAGTGAAGGAACTACCACTCCTGCAACAATACTGTCTTGTATTATATGATGCATTGTGGTCACAAAGCAGCACAGCCCCATCACAAAAAAAAGGGCTGCACCTGCCCTGGGACAGCTGATGAAAACATATCACATGCACATACAAATCTAAGGTCTTGTCTTGATGCTAAGTATTAGTTGTACTGATTTAACAAACAGTTATTGACTTCTATACATTAATTAATCTTGCCCCTGGATCTAAGTTCGGTTTAAAGTACAACTAGGCACAAAAATACAGTGCTTGATCTTATTAAAACAAATAGAAATTTTTATGGACATTTTCAAAAGATATTTTAGCCATACAGTGCTAAATAGATCAGGTATGCCACAAGAGTCACCAAAACACTTGAAGGTTTACGTGGTGTTATGTTTCTCTTGTATTTGTGACCCTGAGTCCCTGTAGTGAACCGTACTGGCACTTTGATCTTCCCATTTTGCAGCATTTACATTCTCTGTGTCTTGAATGAAAGAGGAGGCGGGTGAGAGCACACTGCGCTGCATGGAGTATTCTCCAGCTGCATCATCCAAACAGTAACCACAAGGGAGACAGATGGTTATGGATCATTGCTTGGCAAAGACACTACAATGACGTGACGAGATCTTTGCTAAGTTTCACTTAAGAAATTAAGTAAGCAGAAACTGTAGATGTTAAATAGAAAAAAGAAAAATCTTCTTTAATTGTGATATCTTTTGCCAGAAGATAGCTTCAGGGCTTATTAAAGATGGAGCTAGGAATTTCTTCCTTCAGTTTTCACGTTTCCAAGGCTCTTCTTCAACAACACTGAAGTCTGCAGATTTGCCATTAGTTGCCAGTGTTACCTGCAAGCAATTATCATCAACAACTGACTTAAAGACCAAGGCACTTTGACAAGAAAAGTTTTGAGTTTTATAGGGAAGATCATGATACTTACAGGAATTACATTCTCCATGTCTTACTATATATGTAAAATGTATTTATTCAGAATTCACAACACTCCCAAATAGTGAGACTCCTGTTCATTTATTATACTGACTAGAAAACATTAGTAATAGGAAAAAAGTTCCATATTTTCTTAGCCTTTGCTGTAGGTTGGGGTTTTTTAAAATAAGTATTTCAGATTCTAATTTTTTCTATCTCCCATAGATTTCTCTGGATTTCTTTTAAAAAACGATTACTTTATTAATCTAAAAAGTCATATTTTTTTAGTTGAATTCCTTAGAAAAGCAGGATAGCTGAAGCAAGGACATGAAAAATATGCAAGGCCAGAATAATCATAGATGCATATTTATACAAACTCACCTACAATTACACCACCTTTAAAGAAATGGCGGAAAAGATATGTTTTGAAAGTATTGTTCATCATGCCACTATTTCTAACAATGTACTGAAAGATTTTGACTATAGTCAGACCAAAAATTCATAGCAATGCTATGTTTTGTCTCACACAAAGTACAACAAAACATAACCCTTGCCTGTAAAGATAGGTGCTAAAATATTTAGGTTTTAAGTATGGTAGAAGACCTCCAGTGATCTACCAACTCACAGTAAACACTGGCCAGTACACTGCATCCCAGAAATCACTAAAAATAAACCCATGCCTTAAAAAAGATAGTTCCAGCCAAATGACTTTAAAAATTTTAAAAAGGTAATGTGTCAATTTAACTTTACAAAAGCAATCTGGATCTTTATAACTGTGAGAGAACCTTTCATTTAATTCTAAATGGATGGCTCACTCTTTCCTAACTTACCTTGTAAGTTAACATCCTCAGCTTCAAATGAAAACTTAAAGACAGAGCTGAAAGTCCCCATGCTGGGTAAACTGGATGCATGGAAGCATTGGGACATGGAAACATGACAAAATGCACTGATTTTTGAAACAAAGTCAAGCTTTTTCTTAAATAATTCAAAGAGGGAAACATGCAAATACAGGAATGAACAGCTTATTCAGAAATGAAAATCACACAGAGTCATGTGAAATATGATAATAAAAAAATACAAAAATATCGTGCAATAACAACCACTCTACCTCCATATAAAGGTAAACTACTTAGTAAAAATATACATTGACCATGCAAAATTATAAACTATTAGTGTTATACATGGAATATATTACAGAAAGGAAATAGAAAAGACATGCTAGTAGATTAGCTTTTCCAAATTCCGACCAGAGTTGCAGTAAGCTTTTCAACCCACCAGTGCATTTGACAGGATGAAGAGATGTCTCTTCAGATTTAACAGCTGCTTGTTTTGAAGCCCCACATCCTACACTCTGCTGCTTTTGCTACTCTGACACTTGGGAGCTGTAGACCACTTCAACATGATCCAACTGCTTTGTAAATGTCAGCATATATTCTCAGTTTATAAACCAGACGGTAACATCACATCCTTTTGGCAGCTTGCAGACAGACACATGGACAAGTGACCTGCTCAGTCAGTCTTGTGGTCAATCCAGTAAACCCTGGCTCTTTTCATGAGTTTAAAAGTGCAAAATGAGATTGCAAGCAGACCAAACCTAAAATAATGGAAAAGGACAAACACTTCTGGCTCATAAAGCACTGGTCCCAAATTGTAACTAAAGGGTGTGCTTAGGATGAGATACCGCATCATTTATCCCTGTTTTTGAGGTGCGTTAATGCCTCAACTGAGGGAAATTATAAGACAAACTGAAGGAGAGAAAAAAGTGCAGCAAGTATTGCATCAGCGGGCTACTACTCTCTGGCATGACTTGCATCTCTGTGCAAATCTGAGAGACTGTAAGGAGATAAAATTATCATTATTCAGTTCCATGAAGCTGATTCAGACTGATATATGGTAGCTGAATTTGATTTAAACCCACTGAAATTAGCATGGTCTATTGCACTGAAAAACAGTTTTCCGAAAGTTCCAAAAGAAGTTAACCAAAAAGTGTGTGTGTGTGTGTGTGTGTCTATGTCCATTCATGTTTATTTTTAATCAAAAAAAAAATCTTTTATCAAATGAGATCTTCCTTTTCAGGGAGTTTCCTTCTTCCTTCAAATTTTTATCTCTTCTGTGTCCTTTCCTTTTTTGAGAAATACAAATTAATGATAATTTTTAATATTGGGTAAACATGTATTGTCTTTCCATTTCAAATTTTTTTTACTTTTATTTTACTCGTGGAAAATTATTGGGTCAGAAAAGGAAGGGGAGAACCATATCAGAACAAAATATTTGTTTTCATTTTAAAAAAATCATTTTATTAAAAATTGGAAGATTCAGGGAAAAAAATTAGGATAAGATGAAAGTTTTTACTTCGCTGAATTCAGTATTACTTTTTCCCTTGGAAATTCAGGTTTGGCCTAACATTATGTAGAAGTAAGCATCAGAAAACAACATATTCTAAAGAATATTTCCAGCCAGGCTGGAGACAGGTGAAAGTGATAGAATAGAACTTATATTCCCGATATATATGGTGATCTCCTAATGGACTTAGTGTAGGCATTCACAGACAGATACTGGATCAGTTGTGGCAACTGGAAGATGCAAGAGAATCTGTTTGGAAAAATGGCTAAGGTAGGTTCACTAGATCAGATCAGAGTATTAATAAATTTTAAAAAGTGTCTATGAAATGAAAAGTTCCAGCTTGTTTCAGCCTCTTTCTCCTCCTTTTCAAAAACTCTCTCCTGATTTTAGACTGCCCCATCCCAATGGTGGCTGCTTAGGAAACTTAACCGCTAACCTCCCCAGCTGTGTTCTCATTCAACTGGTGGCGTTTCTCAAGCTCACTTTGCTCTGATCAAGACGTTATTATTACTATTAATAATCATGTTAGTTACAGCAAGGATTAGAGAGAGCCTACAATGATTGTGTCTGAAAGACTCATGAATGATGGCGGAAGCAAAGCATAAGCATGCTGTAGGAGTGCAGGAGCATTCTGATGCTAAAGTGCATTCAACACGTCCATCTCGGAACAGCATATCATGGAAGGCAGTCAGCAAATGACAACACCTCTGTCTGAACTGCAGCTATCCTTTATTTGGGTTGGCAATTAAGTTCTCTGTTGCCAAAAGTTGCAAAAAATTAAGTAAATGTCCATTGAAGGTGATGCCACATTCTCTGTGTCTTGGCATATTCCATAATACGCTGCATCTTGCCTTTTGAGATGTAAACAATGTACATGATTTTTTCCCCCTCAAATGACAACTTTTAAGAAGAGTGCAAAAAAGTATCTCTTGAACTGCTCAAACTCATTCAAAATGTCTGGGGTTCATGAACCTTGTTGTCACATTGTTATTTGCAGAACAATTTGAAAAATACATGCAGGTTAAAAAATAAGATAAAATAAAGCATGCAGTGCTATATACATGTCTCAATATCCATAAATGTGAAAGGTACCTTGCACTCATCTACTATGACTGAGTTGTGAGCTGCAAAAACACATTGGTTTGAGTTGTTTTCCCTATGATTTTTCATGTCGTCATAGATTGACTGAGTCTTGGTCATTTCAATGTCTTCATGCCCTTTATGATGGGAATCAAGGGTGTCAAGTTCTGCCTTGGAAAGGTGGTAGACAATGCCAGCACCAAAAGAATCCCCCACTACATTGACTGACGTTCTCATCCGGTCCCTACAAAAGAAGCAAAAAGCACAGGCTGAATGTCATGAAAGGAAGAAAAAGTAGAGCATGGCAGCCCTGATAAAGTTAAGTTACTGCATTTATTTCAGGAAGTTTAAGGCATCTTTGGAACAGCAAGATGGGAGCTTTCAAAAAGCTGAAAAAACTTGCTTTCCCAGAGGACTTGTTCAGACAGGGAGGATGTGCAAACTCCCATGTCCCAGCTGCTTGTACTCATGGATTTTGGCAAAGAACTTGTGCTAGAGACACGGCCAAACTGCAGAGCTGTGCTTGACTGAGATCTCCTCAGCACCTGCTTCTGGAGCTGGAGGTTTCAATGTCAGTGTGCCAGGCTCACATCATTGCCCTTTGTTTAATCTGAATTTATCACAGCCCTGAACTTAATGCAGCCAGAGGAAAGGATTTTGGATCTGATGAAGTGTTCTCATCTCTGGGACAGATTAACAAACGGCCTCTCCCTTTATTCTCAGAGAGCAAACTATGGGGAAAAAAATTCCTGAAGTATCTCCATAAGGCTCAGGCCATCAAAGCTCCTCTCCTGGCACCATCTTTACAGATGATCATCTGTTAGTGTGGCAACATGCCCACTCACAATACTGTATGCCAGAGCTTGGCATATAAGCCAACCAAATATAGGTCATGGCCTACAAAATGATGAGCCCATGACAGCATTTCAGTCCCTCGTTGTAGGAGGGTGTCAACGGAGGCTCACGTGCTTCATTACCAAGAAATGTGTCTGTCGGCGCCTTCTGGATGGAATGTCATTGGGCAGACATGCCACCTTTCTCCTGTCTTGTCTTTAGAGTATGGCTCTATCTGTCAGCACTGAACTCATGGCTGTGGATTTTCCCTGATTTCAGAAGTCTGCCCCAAACCTGCCCAGAATTCTGCTACAATGGGAGATGGTCTTACAGAGCACTGCAGGACTAAGGGCTCCTGCTATCCTTCCTACTGCAGGCAGGCTGTATTGGCGGTATTACAGGTGTTAAAATAAACTATATTCTAATTTGCCTCTTCAAATCTGAACTAAACATAAGACTCGTAAAAAAATTCTGACCGAGGGTTGCAATTTAAAGCTACTGCAGCAACTAAGTCTAGCTTTGTCAAATAGTTCAGAGAAGTGACTACACTGATTAATTCTCAGAGGTATATCCATGAAGACTCATTTACACAAAATGGGCAGGTAAAACTATGTGGACATTTTCCAATTGACAGAAAAGCCAGCATGGAAAACTTCATTACGCATGACAGTGATTCATCTGAAAACAGCCTTTCTAGTATTCCTGGTACTAGATTTGTGTGACATATCCTTTTCCTGATTTTTCTGAGGAAAAAACCCCCGAACTAAATATATAAACCTCAAATTGATAAACATTCATTAAACATGCCATACAAAGTTTTTTGAGCCATTTTTAAAGTCTTTGCTCTAATTATCTGTAAATCTGCCTTTCCCAGCTATGGAACTATATTCCCTTTCAGGTTTCTCCTCTCCATCTTCACATTATCCTGCTTACATATCTGGAGTTTGTGGTGTAATATCTTAGTTGAAACAATTCGGGGTATTTTTTTGTTTTTTTTTTTTCCTGTCATCCAAAGAACACCCAGAAGGAAAAAAAAACTTCCAATAATCCCCCCAAAAACCAAACCAATCAATAATCGATAGGAGGAAAACATCATTCCAGTTTTGCTTCACACAAATTAAATGCTTTATACATTCTCATCCCATACCTGTGAAGAGTGTTTTAAACCTGGTCAGTGACAGAATAGGAAAAGATGACTTTCCAAGCGTAATTTTTAGTTATGACCATGAAATATACTGAACCTGGCAATATAGAGCCACAAAAAGAATACCTGCTTTTTTTTTTGTATGAGTGGTATTAAATTTTGAAAGGATTCACTGATGCAGATGATAGAGGTATAGTATAGGATGCCAAAAAGATAAGGTGGAGAGAATACATAAACATAATTGAGGCACAATTCAAATTCTAAAGGGGTCATTTGAGGAGATACTCCAGGTACTGCGGGTACTACTAGCCAAGAGATTCTGCACTACAAACTGCACACTGCTGAAGAACATGCTGTACTGCTTCAACCAAAGTAAACAAGTAACAAGTAAACAAGTAAACAAGTTCCTTACAACAGAAAGGGCAAAGTCTCGGCTGTCAGGAATCAACAGCAAAGTGCCACCGGCCTCTTTTGGGCCAAAGAACATCCTAAGAAGAACAATGAAGATTGTACTTTCTCTTTTGTTAAAAAAACCCAACCAATTAATTCCAGATATGATGGAATGATGCAAACAAAATCAGTATAGGAAAGCTGCAATCTAGTAAATAACTTGCCCCAACACAGCTACTTCCACATGGTCCATAACGACTTCTGAGAAAAATTATGGGACTGGAAATCAAAGTTGTCTCTCAAAAGCCAACGTAACATCTGGTAAGAATGTGCTTTGGAATAATTGGGAAGTGATTCTTTAAATCCTGATAAGGGTTAATGCCTAATTTCCTCAAACTGGCATAAATCAGAAGAACTAGAATGTTACAGTGTAGATGAAAGGAATAGAAATTTGAAGAACTGAATCAAACCCCCTTGTTATTAATGTGATAGTACCTATACAGCATGCTAGTACACAAAAAAAAGTTACTCCTGTTCTCTAAAAGCTTGAAAACCTGGTATATCAACCTTACTAGATTTTAGAAAGGAGATTAAAATCTTAGCACACCTGCTAAGTCAAAGACCAGTTGACATGTTTAACTTGACATCTCTTTGCCATTCTGCGAAAGAGCTCTTGCTTTCTACAGTTTAATTAGATTTATATAAGGCCTTGTTCATAACATCCAGATGTCCACTGGGTCTGAATATTCTGAATTTAGATCTGTGCCCAGGAACAGAGTCAGAACTCAAGCAATCTTTTTCTGAGTTACTGAATGAAGTTTTAAATACTGCATCAGTCATCCAAGTCCATTTTCTTTAATTTCTCTTCCCAGCAAAATACCACTGTATTTGAGGTTGTGCTATGATATTTGCTAAGCTTGTCAGTCTCACATCTGGAAAGTAGCCAGCTTCTGGATAGAGCAAAAGAAGCTGGTTTTATTCCAGCTGTTGGCATATAATGACTGTCCTATTAAATGTCACTGCTGTGTTGTGCTTAGTTTTAAACTGAAAAACTAGAAGAGTTGTGAAATCTTGGGAAACCTGCCTGGTGAAAAGCTCACACTGTGTATGTACGCGTAGGAGGGGGAAAGGTTGAGCAACCTCATCTCTAGATATTGGAGAGGTTTGAGAAAAATTGATACAGAAACCTTTTGGCTCCAATTTCAAAGACAGAGCGCCAAGTTTAAGAACAATCAAAAGTCAGCTTAGTGTTACACCATGACCAAATCATGCAAAACTGGTTTTGGTAAGACCACAGTTTCAGATGATGGTAATATTGTAAATCAATTCACGATCTGATATCTTCTTTCATCAGAAATATTGAAAAACTCATAAAGTAGTGGATTTGAAAGGATTTGAAAATCCTTCATTATCTGGAATTGAAATTCTATAAAAGAGCTATTCCAAATATTTCTACATGGCTGGTTGCATTTACACACTGGTTCCAGAAAGGTGGCTGGAATTGGGTCTTAAATATCTTATTATTTTCTCTTTTACATTCCGTCAGAAATACTGGTGTAACATTATTTGATGATCTAAAGAAATGGAAGAAGACAATATTTGTAAGTAAAGAAAATATCTTTTTATGACCTTTCATTTCATATATTCTTTAGGTCTGATCTGCGTGCCCAAAAGCTTGCTCAAAAGTTGTCTTGCATGCCTTTTCTTAACATCGGCAATGTCAGCAGCATCATTTTATATCTGATTAGATCGTCATGGCTACCACAACACAACCACTGGAAGATGGAAAATAAAGCTATTGGCTGTTGAACATATGTTAATTAGCACAACACTTCCACCAACAAACTCTATCTTAACATCCCAGCACTAGTGGCATGACACAGAGCTTCTCATCTCCTTTTTTATCTCTTTTCTCTTCTCCCTCTACCTTTCAATTCTGAATCATGCTGCAATTGCACTGCTGATTGTTAGGCCAGAAGGATCCAAACCCAACTGTTTGTGCTGAAAGGTTCTTTTTGCCTGGAAAGATACCTTGAAATATTTCTTTCAGAAGTGCTATCCCTCCTATACTTAGGTTCGTCACCGCTACAGCTCCACAGTACGTGCATGGTTATTTCCCAAGCAGGGTTGGATGAGCCAGTGGGAACAATGCTGCTGAAGCTGAGCCTGAAATGCAACACCTATTGTGGATCAGAACTGCTGGTAAACTTACAGCTCTGAGGTTTGCTAGTGTGGGCAGAGTTTCTCAGTCCACAGGAATATTTTTAAATGACATTTCCCCAAAATACCAAACAAACCACAGGCTCCTTTTGCACATCCTCCTACCAGCTGCAGAAACCTACCTTTTTGCCTTACTTTGAGAGCCAGAAAAAACATGTATTTAAAATGAGTATGCACCTCCCTTTTGCTCTCCTCCTCCCAGCTGCAGATTCCTATGCCACTTTCCTGTTTTCAACCATGACCTCATAAATATAATAAACCCACAGAATATTACATTTTTCCCCACACCAGCTGTACTCTGACTGCTGAACCCTGCCTCATTTCACCATTCTGAGTCATAATATTCAGTTATATATAAAATATGTAAGTCATCTTTTCCCTTTTCCTTCCCAAGGTGTAATTTCTTCTTTCATTTTTTCCTGAAACAGAAATCGGAGCTGTGTGCTATTCTTCACAACCCTTAGTGACAAGATAGGTAATAACAGACAGAGTATAGCAGTAGATCCAAAATACATGTCAGAGGGCTGACCAAGTTCTTGAATTCTTCTCAATAAGCCAAAAGATGACAGAAAATTAATTTTCTATTTAATCTTCACATTCTCAACTCTGTTGCTCCTTCTTGCATAATTTTAGCGGTGTATCTGGAAGTGAGAGCTACCACAAGCAGGCAGCTGAGGCTGCTAGTGCACGAGGAAATGCACAAATAGTATGGAATGGTACTTACATCTCCCCTTCTGGGCACCATGGCTGGCACAACAGGAATATATGTCTTTACTGCGTAAAAGAATATTAGGGGAAAGACAGCTGTTTGCCAGAATATACTGTGCTGCAGAGGTACAGGACAATATAAAAGCCTCTAGAGGCCAGTACAACTTAGAGGACTACAGAGTCCCTGTCAGCTTGGCGCAGGTGACAGAGATATCCACATTGCTAAATGACAACATGAGAAAGGATGCGGCTCAGCATATGCTCCATCTATATTTACAGCTTCTCTGTTTAAATGTTGAAGAACAAAAGCCTTGGAAAACTACCCGTTTCTCATCAGAGGACCTGCAATGGCACTGAAGGACTTCAATCTCAAGTCCTTGAAAATGAAAGTCAGTCTTTCCAGTTTGAGGGATCTGTCAGTAAAATCAAACTAGGGAATGACCTTCTCTCTTTCAGTTTGCTTTCTTATTTGTCTTTGGTTTATATCCATCTCTAGAACAGTTGCTTCCTTAAAAGTATTATACTTTCTTATGTACAAAAAGAAATAGACTTTCCCCGCTATGAGCATAAAACGTTTGATACTACAAATGCCCAAACCACCTTGAAATTTGCTAATAACATCCTAATGGAACATGCATTTTCAGCATTTGTCCTTAATTTTAGACCAAAACTATAAGAAACAGAAATATGAAAGCAAAGATCAGAAAACAGTTCTTGAGCTATGTCTATAATGGAGAAGCATCATTAGGAAGAAAATACATGAGCATGAGCTCAAGGGTCTTACAAGAACATCCTTGGCTCATAAAAACTGTCTTCATTAGCTCTATGAAAATGTGTACCAGCTGAGAAAGTGTCTCCTGCTTCATCAAGCAGCCTATTTATTTCCTCCTTTGCTTCATCTGTAGAGGAGAGTCTTAGAATTCTTTAAGATCATTGGCTGAAAAGCACTACAGACAAGTATTACTTCACTACTTTTTCTGCATGAAGCACTGGAGTCAGCACAACTTACAAAAGCCAGTCAACAGCAACAAGCAAACTGATATCCTGGGTAGGGAGACCCACTGCCGTGAGGATCAGAAGCATAGTGACGAGTCCTGCGCTGGGAATACTGGCAGCTCCCACACTTGCAAGGGTGGCGGTCAAACTGCAAAAACAAAAATCAAATGGGGGTAGCAGGAAAAGGAACATGCACTTGCATTGCATACTTTATTTTCCATGAGTTCTTCCCAGAAAACTAACAACTATATTATAAATCACGGTAAGCTCACCGTAGTTTTCATGCTTGTTTTTCTCAAAAAATATTCATCAGGGAAGGCCAGATCTATGCAGTTTGTTCTGAGAGCTCTAAGAGAGCTGTCTGAGAGTTTTAAGTTTTTTAAGTTGGTTATGACATCCAAATCTTTGTCCTGGTGTTTTCTGAGCTCTACCAACACATCCAGGGTGTTGAATCCTGAGTTTTGATCATCTGGACTTGATGAAGTTTGGTGGCTACAGGTTGAATTTTCAGAGTATTTAATTTCTGGTTATTTATGGTACTTGAAGATTGACTTGTGAGGAAATGGCTGAGAGAAAGTGGTTATTATCAAGTACAGAAGATTAAAAGTTTTGGTATCCAAAACTCCCACAGTGCAAGCCAGTGGTGTACCAAGCCTAGATATGAATCACCCTTCATTTATCTGAATGTTTCATAAATCCAAACTTGTCTTTGTTTTCGCCTCTCATTTTTTTTAAGACCAGCAGAGTGAATGTCTGTGCTCCAAATGTTTGTATAAATACAATACAAACCATAACAAATACCAACATCATTGGACAATCCTATGAAGAATGGAAAATAAATTTGTCAGAGAACAAGCCAAGAGAAAAACATGGAAGAGAAGGAGAGGAAGAGGGAGAGGGAGGGAAGGGAAAAAGGAAAAAGAAGAAGTTATCTCTGTGTTTTTATACACGGGAATGAGTAACATGCTTACACTACTGTGGGTGTACCCTACAAATCTGAAAGTGCTTCCAACACAGAAGTAGGGGAAAAAGGTCTCTGGGGGAGCAATTCCTCTATAGCTAGCCACAGAACTAGTCTATGAGGATGTTAGCCTGATTTAGAGCTGGCAGACGGCTGGGTGTGACCCAGACAATCCAAGCTGCAGTGTGTTTGTCAGGTGTCTGGGTTATAGTGCTACCTGGTCTACTAAATGCCCATACAGGTCCAGCAGGTGTACAGGTAGGATGCTCTGCTCTGCCGTCAGGCTCTGCGCCTGGTGCCAGCTCCTTGGGCACTTCCAGTCTGAACTGCTAAGGGACTGCTTCCAAGCTCTGTGAGGAAATACTCCTGCCAACTTTCCCACAGCAGCACTTACAAGTCTGTAGGAGAATGAAGTTAGCACTGCTCAAGTCTAAACAGAGTCTGGCTTAACTATCATTTCCAAGACCACCTTCTCCCAAAGAAGACAGGAAATGACCAATATGAAGTCACTAGGGCTGATCAAAGGCTAATTAAGTCTTTGTGAGTTTATCTCTGGGTCATATTGCTGTAGCAAAAATGCTATACTGCATACATGCAGGAGAACCAGTGGTTTTCTTAAAAAGAGCTCAAAGTTGCCACCTGCTTAGTAAGTGTCAGTCACCAGCCTTGAAATGGTGAGATCAGGAAGAGCTAATGGGTCAGTTCCTCAGAGGAGTAAAAGAGGAGTAACTCAGGTTCTCTTGGACAATAGCTAATCCCTAACTTTAATTTCTCTGGTCTCAATTTAGTTCAAATGTGGTGTCTCTGAAATTACTGGTTTTAGTCTTAGGAACAAATATGCATCATGCAGGTCGAGAAACTGCCTTCATTAGAAGCAGCGCTGAACCTTTTACAAACCTTGACTTTACTAATACAGGGGTTGGGGCAGGAAGTAAAGAAATAGAAAATGTGGAACTAGTATAGCTGGGCAAGAAACAGAATTAGACATCTCTTTGCAGGAGTTTCTTTAGTGTTAAAAGGGTTTGATAAAAGAGAGGTGGGTGAATGAAAACTACAGGAAGAAGGCAAACTTGTCAGCCTTCACTTGTGGTTTCCATTTTAACTATTCAAAATGTTAGGCCTGGTGTCCTCATCAAGTTTTCCACTTTAGCTGCAGCAGTGATAACTTTGACACTGTTTTTTATTAGTTACTCTACCTAATAGGTCTTAAAACTCCATTACAGTAAACGGGATATAAAAATATTCACTCATCCATTCTTAATTTTATGTGGCAGTCACCTTAGTCCAAGATGGACAATTTGATATGAAAAGACTAAAGCTAGTATTTGCTGGGTTAGAGATAAAAAGGCTGTGAGTATCCAGACCATGCTACAGGCAATCTCACCCTCAGGCTGTCCTATTCTCAGTCCATTTTGTGTGCTGTTCACCAAAGTCACAGAAGAAGTACAGGAAAATGTAAATACACGGATAATTTTTTTAACTACCCTTTTCTCTTCCAATATATAAAAAAGGACACATTCTAGGAAGTTAATGCCCCTCTTAATGCCCCACTACAATCACTTGTAGTGTCCCTCTATACTAAAAAAAAGCATTGCATTGCACAGGGAATGCTGTATTTCACATCATATTGTCAAATGCAAAATTCTGTAAAACACCACTAGCAAGAACTAAGGCTGCAAATGATAGAAAATTCATGTCACCAGAGAACCAGGACCCATGTATATGCCAGCCCTTTGCATATCATTATTAGAGATCCATGGATTTCACAGGGAAACCCACAGCTACTGAGAAGACATCCAACCCAAAGCTTCACATTTTACAGTCTGTAGAAACAAAGCCTACAAGTATTTTGAACTGACCTCACAGTAACTATCTGGCCTCCATCCAGCTCAATTCCGTTCATCTGTGCAATGAAGATGGCAGCCACAGCTTCATAGAGGGCAGTTCCATCCATGTTAATAGTTGCTCCCACAGGAAGAACGAACCTTGTTACACGCTTATCAATGCCTAAATTTTCTTCAAGACACCGGAATGTGACAGGTAATGTTCCAGCACTGAAGGAGAGAAAGCAAGAAAGTAAAGAAAACATAACTACCATATAATCTATACACATAAGGGAGTAAAGTCAGAAATTCTGCTATGATTATTTACATTTTCTACTTCCACTGTCTGCTTTTTTTACCCAATTTTTAAATTAAACCTACATTTAGCTGGAAGTGGGACTGAAGCCAAGACATGAACATGACTCGAAGTAGGAATGAGAGTTTGAGACAGTGGATATTAATTTTTCAGACTCATTTATGAATTATTTCTTGCATCTTGTTCAAAATGACAAGTTCCAAATGTTTTCTGATGGACAGAACTATGAGCATAGGGACAAATCCTATGATTCTATGATTTCTTTGATTGTGAATTTGATCTGAATGGAGAAATCAGTGTTGCATTAAAGAATGAAAAAGCCAGGCAAAAAGATATAACCCACAGAGTTCCCAGACACTGGAGGACAGGAAAGGATATGAAACACAGCTGAAGGATAGGAAAAGACCCAAAAGATGGCTGGAAGAGAACAGCTCATTGCACAGATCCACAGTGCCTCCTCACCTTTGTGGGAATAATTAAGGCTATGACATTCACTTGCTCAAAATCAAACACCTTCATCAAAAAATACTGCTGAAAACAGAACATATTCTTGTTCCCTGTAAATGAAAATATCTTGTTCCCTATAGACTCAAATACCTTCTACTTCTTCCCTTCCCTCGCAGGTCTGCCTGCTTCAGGCAAAGGACTTGCTGCAATGTGCATGAAACCCAACACAGGAACATGTTTTTGTTCCTTACTTTTCTGTGTTATCTCTGAGGTCAAGTCCACCACTAAATTAAGCTGGTCGTTACCTGAGAAGCTGTTCTGAAAAGAAAGCTGACCTGGGGAAATTCCTTTTAATTGGTGTTTCATACAGAAGCAGCTGGAGCACATCTGTTGTGGTTTATTTGCTTTTCTTCAGCTGAGTCAGGAGAATCTCTCAAAGGTCTTCACCACTGTATCATATTAATTCTGGTGTCACTGCCCCTACAAAAATACTAATTTGCTCATAGAAGAATAAAAGACTAGACTCACCAAATTTTCTCAGATAAATACTTGCAGCATATTGGTGCTAGTGCCTTGCAACTTCAGGGTCTTTCCAACTCATTCACTCATCCACTACCATAGAGATGCTATTGGGTACAAAAAATGTAATCTTTCCATTTTACAGATAATTAAACCATGAAAAAGGCAGCTTAAGGAATGAGTGAGATACCTAACTATAAAAATGTAGTGTCAGAATAAATGCTGTAGGTTATCTGGAAGAAGCACATGTGGCTGACCTATCTCGCATGGGATCTATGGAAAACGCAAACCCTTCGGAATTGGCAGATGCCTGAGCCACTTCCTAAATGACTGCTCTTGTTCCACACCTATGGAAACATGAGTTAGAAGATACAAGCTTCTAGATCCCCACTTTGTGCTCAAATGACTGGACCATTCTTTGTTCAGAGGTGATTTTTTTAACAGATATCAGTAAGCCAGCTACACAGTACCAATCACTTGCATCCTAGCATCTTTACAAATATATTTGTAATTATGATTTATTTTACTGTGTTTTTAATCAAAGGTAATCAAATGCTTAATATTCTGTGAGTTTAGACAACAACTACTAGTCAGTTTTCAAGTAAATTCTAGGATCACTTTGACTCCTACAGCAAAGGTATTCCTGTATCTTACTAAAAGAAAAACAGAATATAAAATGTCGTTCTTCAGAAATACAAGTCCCACCTTACCTTCACTGTTAAACAAGATGTGTACCAGCCATGCCCTACAATTGTCGCCATGAACCCCGACGAGCTTAGCAGGCAGAGAATATGCAAATATTTTGCCCCTTCGGTTCTGCCACCATGAGCAAGGATAGGCAGGCAGACCATGGGGACAAGGTTCCTTTATTAGAAGAGCACAAGTATGTAGATGCCTTCCACGGTTCCTCAGCCTGGCCAGAGAGCTTTAATAGGTCCCTGAATAGGAAGCATTTGAAACTTCCAGAGGTACCGGGTTAGACCATATGATGGTGATTGTTGTCATGTGGTCACTTGTCTGTGGTGCTATGAACTAGTCCGCTTCTGTTTAGCCAGTAATTCAGATCTGGAGAGCAGTCAGGTGGTAAAGATAGTATCCAAGTAAATCCATATGCTGGAATCATTCTGAATCTCCTTCATTTTTCCACTTTGGTACTCAGAAGAAAAACATTACTTCATGCTAAAAAACCCCATCCTGTGTATGGACACTGTAAATTTTGTATTGAAATCTAAGTGGAAACTCAAACACTTCAATGAATTTAGGGAAACTGTGGTTTAATCCTGGATAGATTATACCTCCTATAATCCTATGTTGTTTATCACAGAGCCACAGAATTGTTGAGTGTGGAAGGCACCTCTGGATGGTGACCTATTCCAAGCACCTTGCTCAAGGCAGGGCAGCTAGGGCAGACTGCCCAGGACCATGCTCAGACAGGTTTTGTGTACCTCTGTGGATGGAGACTCCGCAATCCCTCTGGGCAACCGGTGTCAGCATTCAATCACTGTCACAGTAAATCACAATAAAAAGATTTTTTTGTGTCTGAGATAGAATTTCTTGTGTTCCAGTCTGTGCCCACTCCCTCTCATCCTGTCACTGAGCACTGCTGAGAAGAGTCTTGCTTCATCTTGTGTACACTGTCTAATCAGATATTTATGCACATCAGCAAGGACCCCCCAGAGCATCTTGTTCATCAGGGGAGAAGCTGTTCAGCACAGTCGTTTGGGTTGACCCAAAGAGACCGATGAATTACGGTCCTTTCAAGGCATTCCTGAAATGAAGACTGCTCAGTTTTCTCATGGTCAGTTTTGAGCTTGGGTTTTTTTTGTTTTCACCTTTTTAATTGCAATGGAAGATTAAATTTTCTTCAGAAATAAGACATTCATTGAAGAAAAACGCTTTAAAATATGGTAATTAACTGAAAAATATTTTCAACACAAGATCTACTAGCGGCCCCAATGCCAAGCATCAACTTCTTACTGAGCTGAGTTGCCCACACACTGTGCTGAGTCTGTTCTGTGCATTAAGAATCAGTCTAAAATGCTCAGTTCTTCACTGAAGTCCCCTTACTCTGCCAAAATGGATGAAAGAATAAAATAAGATGTTTTTTTCATTTCTTTCTCAAAACCTAGCACTGTTTATTTTTTTTCTCCAATACAATGAGACTGGTCTTAACATGCTTTCAAAATAAATAGAATTATCACTGTTTCCTAGTTGAGGAAACAAGTACAGAGGTAACACAATTTTCACAAATCATTCAAGTGACAGAAACAAAACCAAATAGTGGATCTCCCAACTCTCTGCAGTTGGCTGTATGACCTTGCTAAAAAATCCCAAAGGTGTGTGGTTATTTTTATTTATTTCAACATGGCTGGATCAAAAATAGTTTTAATTCAATGTCATAAAATGATTTTGCAGCAAAGGTCAGAACAGCAGATGTATTATCTCTGAACAGCAGCTAATAATCTGCTAAAAAATAAACCAAGCTGTTATTTCTCAAGTGTACCTGGAAGCTGTGCCTAGTGCTGTGATCCATGCCTGGAAAATCCCAGCAAGGAATGAAAATGGGCTTTTCCTTGTTATCACAAAGTAGAGCAGAGGCAGGAAGATCCCTCCATGGATGACAAGACCCACAATCACAGTGACCATGTACATGCCAAGTTGTCTAGCAACTACTTCTAAGTCCTTGATTGCAATGATTTTTCCACAGATGAGGCAAGCAATGCCCAAAGGGGAATACCTGGAGAAAGAGAACAAGCATAGACAGAACTAGTTTTTGCAGCATAGTCATAAAAATTGTGCTCAACAGAGTACAGACTGGAGAAAGAGTAGGGGGCTCTCAGGCTCAACACTGAGATGAAGATCGGGAATTGATGGGAATTCAATGGGTAGCTTTCACATCTTTTAAAAAAATAATGGCCATCTCCAGCAAATTTCCCATCTACTTCATTTTATTCCATGTCATCGAACAGAATATACGTTTCCGGAATACTCTTTGATCCTGGGAAAACATTGTACAAGAATACTACAGGCTAGGATGATTATGAAGAATAGTCTAGTATTTGTTCTTAATACATAAATTTTACAGTCCGTCGCTTCTCTGGTTTCAAGGAGTTGCATTATTTGCTTCAGTTAAACTAATTGTTGAAATTAATTGCTTTTGTCTTGAAGGCTGCAAATGTTTCCATTATGCTCTTTCAATAATTCGAAGAAATGCTTTTATGGATTTAATGAATAATTACGTGCTTTCTTACTTAGGGTAGGGTTTTTGTCACCTCAGTCATGTGATTCCTTGATGGCATAAATGGAAATTTTAAATAGGGTGATAATGGTAGCACAGTTCATTAATTAAAAAAATAAAATGGAAATGAATGGATATTATTTTTTAAAATGTAATAATCAGCTATAGTGAAAAATATATCCATGACTGGAAGTGCATGGATAGAAGACAACATTTATAGCTGCATTGGTAAAAGTTACTTTATTATATAATGTTAAGTGACATTCACTTTCTCTATCTGTTTTATAAAACTTAAGCTGGGAGAAAGTAATGTGTGTAATGTGGAGAAACAGTAAAAAAAATGCCTCTCTGAAAATAAATGGTAATGTATATTTTCAAAAGTCATTAGTGATTTGGATGCCTAATTAAAGACAATACAAAGGAAACTGATTTTCGGAATAAAAAAGTGCTTCATGTTTTCAGTAAGAAACATCTTGTGGTCTCTCAATTAATGTGCCCAAAACCTGGAAAGCCCTCAGTCACTTGAAATGCAAGGCCAGCTGTATATCGTAAGAAGCCATGTTTCAATGGACTTGAAGAAGTGTATTTCTTATGAAGAATTACATGGCGTCAGAGCCAGATGTCTGATTTGTTTGCTGTCTGTGTAGCAATGCCGTGTTCCTGAGACTCTGGGGTTGCCATGGGAGTTACAGCTCTCTGTGCAGAGAAATCATAAACCAGACAAAATGTAACTCTGCATAAAGAAGGGTATTTGTCTTTATGAACACATTAAAAAACCTGCTTGTGGCCACAACAATTCTTTAAAAATTCTAGACAGAAATGAATAAGTGAAATTCCCAATATCAATCTCATTTGTCATGAAAAGAGAAATAAAAAGTACACCAGTAAAAAATAAACATTTACAGTGAATTTGTTGAAACTTGAATGATTTCTTGCCATTGCAACACTTGACTACAACAGAAAATTTATACTGTAGGCAAGGTATTATGTCTTGGGTGTACAACTGGTGCTAAGTGAAGTAAGAGTAAATTCTAGCTTTTGGAGTGTTATGAGAATATGATCACCATCTCTCTACAGAGTCGAGAGCAGCAGGTTACAGTAACTATTGGAAGTAGTAGGGTTTTGTGAACAACAACTGTGTTTTTATGCAGCAAGATCATCTACAGAAAAGCTGAAGCATAGCAGGAACACAAAGTCATTGCTTCTTTCTGTTGTTCTACACCTTTCCACATCGCTGTTGCTATCTGCATCACTCTTGCATAACAGTCTCCCTTTGAAACACTGATGATGGTGCAGACTTGCACTTCAGGCACCCGGCTCCTTTTTCTATATGCCGTGTCCATCTAGAGCCTCAGAAGAGGCATACTATAGCCTTGAAACCCAGGAAACAACTTCCAGGGACACCAGGGAATCACAGGGAGCAATGAGCCACGATACATGTGCTGTATTGGAGTGGCTATTTCTGCTTTTAAAGACTCAGGAGACATGAAGCACAGCAGTACAATGCCAGTTGTAGCAATGCGTTTTTATGTTCTGATAAACTGGTTTTGTGTGATATGGCCACACCTGGCACTGCATACAAATAGCTTTGGGGAAGCCCTCAGAAGAAACATCTCCAAAAAAGAGAGAGAATGCCCTTCCAGAAATATAAACTAGGGCTCAGCCTTAAATGGGTAAAGTCACTCCCTTGAAGGCAAGACAGGTCCTATTGTTACAAATGGGAATACTTCAAACCCAGGATGGATACCTTGCAGTGACCCCACTGTGGAGAGGTTGTAAGACACTTGCTGCAGAAACTATGGGTGGAGGGATTATACATCACTGAAAACCACTGGAATTTTATTTGGTGGTCAAATATTTTTACTACAGAAGACAGTGAACAAAGTGTTTTTCCAGACTTCTTTGTAATTATACCTCCTAGCTACTACCCTGGGAATATCCCAGGGTATCCCAGGAGCGATGTCCCAGGAAGATTTGGATGTTTGGATGTTCTTATGTGGGGTGTTCTTGCTTGCTTAGGTGTCCTTCTACATAATGAAATTCATAATCAATGTGGCATTTGAAGGCCTTTGCTGGTACCTGCATGTCTTGGATTTCAATAAACAAAGAACAGAATACCTTCAGAAATATTTCAAATTGGGGCCTGAATAATCCTCACCGAATAGAAAATAAAAATAATGCTGTTGTGGTTCCAACATACCTCTCAAGGCTTAAAAAAATGAACTACTTAACAACATTGTTTACTAACAAACTGCGGTCACTATATGCTATATGAGGGTATTATGAGGGTTTTTTAAATCTTGTTTTGTTTTAGAAATTAGAACTTCAAACTTACCACATGATCATAGTTACTAACTTCATTACAATCTCATTCAGGATGTTGAAGAAATCCACCATCATCTTGGCCTGTTCTCCCATTTTCCCCATAGCAATGCCAAAAGCAATAAAGAATCCTATCAGACCTATTGGGAAAAAATTGCAAGACAAAAAAAAAAAAAAGCAAATAAACCCATGTTTTTGAGGAAGGTTTTGCATCTAGTCACTGTCTTGATACTACCTGCTAATCCAGTCTTCAGAACCATAGTATATTACACACCTCTTGGGACTTTTTAACATGGACTCACTCTCAATTTTCATGATCATATCCATAACATCTTTTATTCTTCAATATTATAATAAATTTCAGTTTCACAGCCCAACTATGTTGTTTTGTTTTTTCCTGAATTGATCTGATCATCAAAAAAATATCTATGCCATAATCTTCTCAGTGTCATGCAACTGTTAGAAACCTCACAGCCCCTGGCAAATGGGAGAGGCAACACAGCACCATATCACGTCTCTGTTGCTAAAACAGTCACTAGAGACCAAAAGCATTCTTCTCGATCTTTACAAAAGTCCTCTGACAGATTCAACCTGCAGACTAGCCAGTCCTAGAGTACAGGGAAAGGCAAAACCAGCCCCAGAACATCACTTTTGCAGGCCAGGAGTATTCCAGTTGAAGAAGGTGGAGGTGGGAGGACAAGGTGGGTATTGCACTTTAAACTAAACCACGGAACCCCCATTAAACAGATTAACCTCACTAAAACCAGCTGTCAGTGGATACATAATCATAGAATTCAATATGAGTAACATTTGGCTCCTAAATTTAAATGCTAAGGTGTAAAAATCTGGAGTACTGGACTATCAGGGTGAAAAACCAAGTGCCTCTGCCATGTATTACTTTGGAGCTGTGTCTCAAATGCTCACCTTTACCATCCAGCAATTTTCAGCACCCAGAGTGGGATTATAATTGATACTGATAGATGGTTTAAATCTCTAGCCACCCTTTGAGGCTGAACTTTCAGTCATGATATGAGTTCACTATTTAACAAATATGTTAACTCATCTGGGAAATTCTCAAGGAAAAACCCACCAGGGCACAAAAGCATTCAAGAGAAGGGAATTTCAGCTACCAGTAACCTGGGAAAAGACAGGCTGCCTCATATCCTCACACTGGGTTTAGCAATCAGACTTTTCTCTGGGTTTTGGTTTGTTTTTTTTTTTAAATCCAGTCTCCTGGATATAAAGCCATTCTTTAGCACCAAGCTATCTTTGTTGAGTCACTTGAATAGGGAAGTGAAGTGTATGTCTGTGTGCTGCAGAGCTTAGAGAAATTATGAAAAGCTTTTCAGTCAAAGACCAAGTAACTTCCTGGAACTCAGGCTCTGCATCAGAAAATGCTAGTAGGTGGTTTTGTTTGTTAATTCCAAACGAGCTGCTACATTAGTCATAAGAGTCAAGTTCGTTCATATCTGCGGGAATTTGCCTGGCTTGTACAGTTTATGCAAGCTGGATGGCAATTCCCCAGCATTTTTAATTCATTCAAAACCAAGCCACACCACACTAAAAAACTCAGCAACATTTGAGAGTCAATGGTCAAAATATTACAGCAAATCCCCCATCTAAACTGTGTAACTCCTTTCTGCAGGCATTGTATTCAACCTTCTAGCTCCCTTTTTATCCATGACAGAGCTTCCACAAAACAAGTCCAGCACTGAATGTAATGCATCTCTCACATTAGAAATACTGCTTCATTTTCATGCATAAGCAGAGCTCCGGGAGAGAAAAAGGCAGTTGAGGGTAACAGCATGAGCAATGAGCTGCTGCCTCACGCAGGGTGCAAAATGCCAATTTGCAGCTTTGAAAGAAAGTGGCTCCTCTGCCCACAGACATTGAATGGAAGGGGGAGGCATGGAGGCAGGTAGAATGCAGTGGCTCCTGGCTCTTGTAGAGCAGGCTGCTTTGCAAAGAAACAGATCATCTCTGATCAGTTTGCTGATGTTATCTCCCCCACATCTAAGCAAAGCAGCCCCTGCCAACCAACTCACCAGCATCTGGAGAAGCTCTGCAGGCACAGCAGCCACAGCAGCTGTACGCAACCCGTAAAGGGGCCATTTCCCCCTAAAAAGTGATGGCTTAGTGGCGAGATAAAGCAGTAGTTTAGGTACTGCCACATACTGTCCCATTTTGAGGATGATGCCTATAAACACCGGTGCCAGCCTCAGCCCTGTGGACATGCTGACAGTGAGCATGGGTATCTTCAAAAGTAGGCGTGCCAGTGAGGCTACAAATTGAGAGCTAATTTGTGACTGACTTCACCCACAACCAGAAACTAAGAAGGTGAAGGAGGAGCACTCCTCTCTGGGCTGACAAAATGGTGAGTCTAGGCACAGAGGAGAAAATAGAAGTGTTCTGGCAGCTCTTTGCTCCCCCACACCCCCGCTCCAGTCTAAACAGGTGCTTCAGGAAGGGGTGGGAGATCGTCAAAGCCTTTGTACCACCCCCACTTGCTGGCTTGTCCAGACAGGATGGCATAACGACAGTTGTTCCTAATTTGCAGCTGGTAAAGGTCAGCAGCCAAGATGAAAGAAGGAGGGAGCTGTGACTCAGAGATGTGTCAAGCCTCTCTGGGATTTTTCTTGGGTGGTGCGGTTCATACCTCACCTCTCACTTCAGACTCTGCCTCAAGCCAAATCCTAGTTCAGCATGCCTGAGACACCTTTGGGAAACAACTGAGCTCAGATTCATCAGGAGGTGGGTAAAGCACTGGCTCTTGAAGCTCTTCCCCATACTGTTTTGCCAATATGCATTAGTATTAATCTAGGTAAGCTGCTTCTAGGATGAAAGGATATTTTGGGTACCTCCTCCATGCTCCCCCACTGTACTCCAATCAATACCTGCAAAGCTGCCAATCCAGAATAATTCACTTGTTTGTTTCTGTGATACAGTCATATTTCTAGTAAGACCATCAGATTTTCATCTCAGAGACCAAATGGCAGTCAGTAGGTTATAACATTTGATGATTATTTGGGGAGACTAAACCTGCACTGAAGAGCAGATCAGACAACACTGACTACCCAGGCACAGCCAAAAGCTGTGTCATACATATGATGTACATATTTTACAATGGCAAAAAGTTTTCCTACCCAGGACATTCATGCCATCCTTAAATTCAAGTCCCTTCTTAATGATCATCTGGGCTTCTGGTGGTGCTGTCTCATTCATCATAGCAAAAGCAGAGTCGGTGACATTAGGTGGTTCTTCAATGGGTGGTGGCACCAGCACCTTCTTGGTGACAGTTTGGATCTGAAGGCATTAAAAAGGGAGGATGAGAATGGAAACAGACTAAATGTAATCCATATGGGAGATCAGGAAATAATAATAAAAAGAATCTTCACTTTAAATTCCAAGGAACTATATTTTTAAAGGATTAGACATGCATTCCACAACCTCTTACCCCCTCTTCCAAAAATAAGTTGTTGGGTTTTTTTTAATAGTTCCAAGTGTCACAAAGTCCTGGGACTTTTCCTCATGACTCTAGTGTGAAAAGTATAGCAAATACTTGTTCCTTACACTGCAATGTAACATTTTACAGCTATTTAGCCCCTTTGTCCAGATGGTTCACAAATGGTGCTTCACAGACTGTATGCTACATGCTGATACCATTGAGGACCAAAAGGCAGGCACCTCTAAAATCCATCACAGGAGCAACTTTGCAGTAAGGTTTGTTATTGAAGATAATCTGCCCAGCTCAATTTATTACAGTTTGATGGTTAACTTGAATCAAAAACTTAGAACATTTCCAACACTTCACTTGCTGACCATGAGAGCTCAAAATGGAATACACACAGTCCCCTGAGCTCTCTAATTACAATATGGTGAGTGACAGATAACAGAAAAATTATGAAAGCTGTCAGATACCTACTAAATCAAATCTGACCACCTCAAAAAAGAAGACGTCAATGGATCTGGACCACTCCTGGCAGGGTCAAGAGAAAGCTGGGAAGGAATGGTAGGGGGTGAAATGTGCTTGAGTTTACAGCTAGAAAAAAAGGGAGGAAGGAGTGGAAAAAGAGATCTGTGACTTGCAGCTTTTAGAAGGGATGTTCTCCTCCCACTTCACACTTTGAGCCTTTCCTGCCTCTTCATGGCTCTGGGACAGAAAAAATGATTAGGAAGCATGACCAGTTTGCCATGGTTTCCCACCTGCTCCTTACTTTCCTTGCTCCTAAAAACATGTTTGAGCAAGACATCAGGAACAGTGCATTAGGCTTTCAAAGAACATTTGCACCTCTTTCCTGTTGAGATGGACATTATAGTACCTGCTGTCCAGATCCCGAGAGGGAGATGTAGACAGAAAACCTACGTAGATTTGTATGAGAAACTCTTCAGTTGTCATGAAACAACACAACATTCCTGCATGTTTACTTTTTTTTTTTGAGTTAAAATTCATCTGAGGGATGTTGTCAACAGAATAGTTTTGATGTGAGGTATCCAGAATGTAAGAACAGAGTCAAAGAATTTAAACTTAAAACGTTAGACTCACACGCTCACAAAGTCCACTAGTCACTTAAGTCAAAGGTCCTCAGCCCTTCTTTGCACAAGGCTACAGCCACTAAAAATGCTGAGCCTAACATCAAGTTCAGATTCTGCCAACAACGCCTGAGGCCAGAAAACCATTTAAATATCACTGTCATATTTATAGATGATAGTCCTATTCTCTTTCATGGCACAAAGGATCTTAAGTCTCTTCTGGAATAGCAGTTTTCACTATAAATTAAGACTTCCTTGTGGACTATACAAAAATTCAAGAGACACTGAAATCCCATGATGGTTCAGAATTCAGTTTGCAAATGAACTGTCTAAAAATCACAAGCGAATCCCTTCATTACTTTCTGCCTGGTTGCAAGGGAAGGCATGGAATACTCCCCCACAGACCACAGCTACACACCCTGCTGTGCACCCTGCAAAATCACTCTTTGCAGGACTTCTGCAAAAAATTGCTTCCTTCTAAGGCAACCTGGAAACACTGAATGGTCATGGATAAATGTAGGAAGAGAAAATACATGCTAACACCATTAAAAACAAATAGTTTTCTTCCTAAATAAAGAAAAAGACAAGTAAAGCCTAACTCCTTACTGAGAAGCTAAGGGCTAATAGAAGGCACATGTTCCATTTCGAAGGGAGCATGACTTTGCAAATGAAAGGTGACTTTATGGCAGAGGCTTTCACTGGCACTTAGTTTGGAATCTGATAAAATTAAACACTGGAAAGCCAAAAGGCTCAGTAGCTTTTCTGACTAATTTTAAAAAACAATCAATGGAATTGGTGATCTAAGCACTGATATTACTCACACTGAAAAAGCAATATTAAGGCCTCAAGAAAACTGACACGGGTAGCTTAATTCCTCTTGCTCCCAAGTTTTTGTCCTTTTGTTGAGATATTTGACCACTTTCAACTGACCAGAAATTTGATTCTCCTCTTTTCCACAGTTCAAATGAGGGAAAGGAAGAAAAATCCATAAGCACCCTGCTCTCTCTTCACTCAAATTTGCAAAAAACATTTCACATTACACATGATGTTAAGCCACCCCCAGTTTGACCACATGACTGACATTCCCATGATGACTTGGAAATACTGAGAATGTTCTCTCTTTAAATCCCCAAGGACTATGTGTTTTTATGTGGAAGTCTATGGAAGAAGTTAAGTCATTCAAGCCCTTTTGACAGCTTAGGTTGCCCTCCGTTCTTCCACCCGCCATGGCTGCTTCTCCCCTCCCCCTCTTCACTTAATTCTTTAGCCATAAACACATCTCCAGCTATCATGCCATTTCACATGGGAACACTTTGGCAACAAACCTTGTTCCATCCAAAAAAACAATTTCTGCGTGACTGTCAAACAATTTAGTTGTAGGAAAAAGTAGTTTACATACAAATAATGAGCTTAAGCAGACATTAGGAAACATGAATTTTTCATTTTTTTACCCCTCGAAGAGAAGCTGGCTTGACTAAGCATTGGTGAAAAGCTTTTAGACAAAATTATCTACCTACAGAGCAAGTGACACATGATGCAAGCATCCTTCATTCCCAGCATGCTCTAAACCTGGCCTGATGGAACCACCTGTAGGTGGGTCAGCTGCTTGATGGTACCATCTCCACCTAGTCTGAACACTTAATACAGCAGTAGAAATTTTGAGAGGGTGGGTTTTGTGGTACATTTCCACTGGCAACCAGCCGGAATGAAGACTATCCATATATTACAAACAGGGCATTGCAGAACCATCAGCTCTGTAACTAACAACCAAGATCAGATTCAATCTGGGTGATAGATCCCATAATTCATCAGCTGTTCAGCCCCAAGCAAGCATTCATGACTATATATATTGTACAAAAAGTGAGGAAAAAAATACAAGTTTACTGAAAATCATCTCCTTTTAAAAAATCTATTAATTTAAATAACTACAACATAAACCAAAGCATCTGTAATGTTCTTTCATTTACCTGCTCAAGACTTAAGACCTGTGCATCATCATTTCTGTCACTTGCCTCAAAAATGACATTAACTCTACAGATAACCCTGGTAAGTAAAATATGTAAAAAATATTACAAAGGAGTAGAAAGATTTACCTGCTGAAAGCATGCTTGGACTAGATTTTCAGGGAACAGGTTTCGGATCAGATCCAAGAAAGCATCCAGACTAGATACTTCATCATTCTTCTTCCCTTGACCAAGCTGTTTCCTGAGTTTTGGATTCCCTGGGTGGATGGCTAAAACCAAAATCACGCCCAGCACAGCAGCAATAATAGTGGTGGACATGTAGTAGACCATGGCTCTTGTACCCAATCGGCCACTTGCTTTAGCATCTAAACCAGACAGTCCTGCAGGTGTTTTATTTTAAGAAACAAACAAATACATTGAGACTCAATACCCAATTCAATAATAATCAAATAAAATCCTTTATAATTTGCAAAGTTTAATGACTGCCTACAAGTGTCTACTTTTGTCCTTGTGAAATTTTCACCACTAGATAGATTACTGAAGCTTCTCTCTCCAGTTCTTATGTGAACAGTGTCTGCTGCTACTAATTTAAAGAGAACCATTTGAGAGTCCATCTAATCACAGAAGAGGTATTGAAAAATAGTGAAGATATCATACCACTCTTTTGCCCATGACTGCTGTAAACTGGTCATGACGCGTGGGTGACACCACAGGCTAGGCTAGGCTCGCTAGTGTCATGCCACCTTATTTGCAAGGTCCAACCCAGGAATTAGGTGAAATAGCGTATTAAGAAATTTTTGATATTCAAGAAGGTAGTATGTGTGCATGTGTTTGAAAATAAATCCACTGGAGCACCTACAAATTAAAGCCAATTAAGTTAATCAGACATTAACTCTAAAATACACACTGCAACTGCAAAATCCCTGAAAGGATCACACTATTCTTCCTACATCACAAAAAGCAAACCAGGTGATATCTGTAGCAAGCATCTTCAAGTATTTCTGGCTAATAGAACTTACCTGTGATTAAACTGGAGATAATTAAAGGGAGGATCAGCATTTTTAGCATCCTCATAAGTATATCTCCTGGGAAGGCTATTAACATGATGATGTCAGGGTCAATAGGTGTTGCTAGACGAAGAAGACCCCCACACAGTGCACCCAGGATAACACCTGGAAGAATAAAGGAGAGCAGGTAGGTAACATATATATATCTGAATACACATTGATTACCCAGAACAGCATAGAAGAAAAACGCAGCTAATTTTTGCTAAACAAGGCAGCCAATTTTTGATAGAAACAGATTTTGGAATCAGCCTTCTGATTAATATGAGGATGTAACATGCTTAACATGTATCTCATGATTAAAGAGAACTGGTCCTGATCTAGAATCTTCTGCCAGCTGAGTTTACACCTAATGTACTATTTTGCTTCTTCAAATACATATTCGCTGCAAACCATAATGTTATTGAGGTTTACTAATACTGTGTAGGCCTTGCAGTACAATGAGGGATAGTCAAATATAATTAATAGAATCACAGAATGGTTTGGGTTGGAAGGGACCCTAAACATCATCCAGTCCCACTCCCCTGCTCCAGGCAGGGCCACCTTCCACTAGCCCAGGTTACTCAAAGCCCCGTCCAACCTGGCCTTGAACCCTTCCAGGGAGGGGGCAGCCACAGCTGCTCTGGGCAGCCTGTGCCAGGGCCTCACCCCCCTCACAGGGAAGAATTTCTGCCTTAGATCTCATCTAAATCTATGTCTTTCAGTTTAAAATTATGATGCCTCATCTTATCCCCACATCCTCTGATCAAGAGTCCCTCTCCCCTTTCCTGTAGCCCCTTTCAGCCCTGGGAGGCCGCTCTAAGGTCTCCCCGAAGCCTTCTCTTCTCCAGCTGAACCCCCCAACTCTCTCAGCCTGTCCTCACAGCGGGGTGCTCCAGACCCCTGAGCATCGTCATTCCCTCCTCTGGCCCCACTCGAGCAGGTCCGTGTCCTTCTGCTGTTGGTGCCCCCAGAGCTGGACCCAGCACTGCAGGGGGGTCTCACAGAGCGGAGCAGAGGGGCAGAATACCCCCCTCGCCCTGCTGCCCACACTGCTCTGGGTGCAGCCCAACACACGGGTGGCTTTCTGGGCTGTGAGCGCACACTGCTGGCTCACGGTCAGTTTTCCACCCACCAATACCCCCAAGTCCTTCTCCTTGGGGCTGCTCTCAATCCACTCATGGCCCAGCCTGTGTTTGTGCTCAGAATTGCCCTGACCCATGTGCAGGACCTTGCACTTGGCCTTGTTGAACTCCATGAGGTTTGCACGGTCCCACCTCTCCACCTGCCCAGGTCCCTCTGGATGACACATCCCTTCCCTCCAGTGTGTCGACTGCACCACACAGCTTGGTGTCATATAATCATAACATGATGTTCATATAATCATTCTACAGCTGGCAAAATCGAGGCACTGAGGTGTGAAGTGGTATATATAAGGCCATACAGAACTGACAGAAGAGCCAGGTTTCAGACCTAGCTCTTCACTGTATGACATCTAGCTCTCAACATAAGAATGGTACCACTTGAAAGCAAGGTCAGCAAGAGGAGCTATTTTACAGCACAAGACAAACCCTGCAGGAAAGCTAGAATAGTCTTGTGAAGAAAACAGATTCAAGTTTCATTTGGGGGGTTTTGGAAGGGAGTGTCTGATCTGGAACACTGCACATGTCACTGAAGAAACCTTGATTCTTCATACTTGTTTATTCCTCCCTCCCGTTGATGTTCTGCATCCTTCTCTTCTCTGTGCTAGCATTCACAAATCACAAACAATCCCGTCATCACTTAGATTTGTACATTGATAACACCTAAATTCCTCTCTCCAGATTGAAGCTGTTAAAGCATAGTCTAATGAATAAAAAGGTCATGTTTACTTTCATAACATGGTCTTTGTGAATGGATATTCTGTGTTTACATCCAGGATGCCTTTGTTTTCCTGATCCCAAGCCCAAGTCTCCAGTGTAGTAAAACTTGACAGCAAAGTCTGATTTGCAGCAACTATGACTCTCCGAAGGACCAGCTTGATACAATGGAAAATTTATGTGTATTTAAAATTTCTTCTGGAACCGCATCAAGAAACTTCTAAGATGATTGAAAGCAAATACTGTCTAAACACTACAGAAGTATGGGTTTTGAAGGCTGAAAAATATGGATGTGAAATGTGCAGCTGAAGACCAGCTGCAGCTGGTCTTTCAAACAATAACAAAATAGAGTATGTCTGTGAATTTGCTGCATTTGTCTGTTAGGCTTTCAGCAAAAAAGAAACAGGCAAAAAGCCAGTGAGCCACAATAAAATGTCAAACTGTTCCATATTTGGAAGCTGCTAAAGCCAGAGGCAATATTCAGGATGAGATCACGGAGCACTGGCTTACAGCTACAGAAAGGGGGACAAACCTTAAAAGCAGCGGAGAATGAACTGGGAGATAAAAGATGAAGGCAAGGAAACTGTTAAGAGTTTTTGCATTTTTTCAAATAACTGACAGAAAAAATGAGTAGTGCGTTTAGATCTACTGAATGGCATTGATCTGACAGGCCTCGGGACTGAGATTACACTCCATTCAAAACCAGATATAGAATGTTATCTGCCTGGTGTGGATTAGCTCCCTGTTGTGTCAGTAATCCCCTGCACACCTGACCTAAAGCAACAATGCCTATGGGCGTCTCGTTTACTCTCTGGCTGTTCAGCTGGAACAGCTGATGACCACAGACAGGATCGACCTGAGCAAATACAGATGCACAGAGAACATCGAGAACAGCAGATGCAGCTTACCGAACACAGTCAGAGTCAGGAGCAGATTCCTGTGGAGCGACTGGCAGAACTGCACACATATGTTCCTGGATCTGTGCTCCACTGGACTTAAGTGACTTTCATGCATCCGCACTTCTACTTGCTTAGGCATATTGTTGGCACTAGAATAAAAAAATGAAAATCAAGTAAAAGTTATAGCACAAGGTACCAAAGTGAGAGGAAAGTCTGGATTACTTCCACCAAATGTAACTGGGGAATCTGATGCACATTCCATCGCTTCCCACATTTCACACACACCGTATATATACTGCTCTGAAGAAGCCTCTGAAATGGCAAAGGTTTGTCCTTCTAAGGTGCAGCTTTAAGGTATTTTTTACAGTTATCTCTCAAATGGTGGAGATGTAAACAGAATTATTTCATTGGACACATCATTCCAATGGTTTCATGGACCAAACTATTGGTCTTGATCTGGAAAATTCAGTTCCCCCAAAGATCATGGCTGTCTACTTAAGTAGGAGAGCTGGCTGAAAAACAGGGTTTCTATTAGCAGGAAAATGGAGATTTCAATACCTTATTTAATTCCATTTCAGGAAAAGACAAAAACAAGGATTTATTTGCAAAATAAAGCACTCCAGAATATTTTGCTTAATCTTCCCAAAACGTTTCATTTCAACATTAATATTTTATTGTAATGTAATAAGAATGCTGAGGTCAAAGAATCTTTTTCAACTTGGTTCTAATGAGACTTGAACAACTGCCACTAAAAAATAAGGCAGAAAACTACACATTCCCCAAGAAAACCTTTGGTTTCACTGAATTGGCAGTGCTTAGAGGAAAAAGTTTTTTGACTAACTCTGGTTTATATTGAAGCGATATGCACATGAGTGTAGGACTTCGAAAGCCATGCCTCTAACTTTCTCAACTCCTGAGAAGTCATTAGAATCCGTTTTTATATACACAATACTAAAATGTACCTGAAAAAAACCACTAAAAATACTACAACAAACAAAACATACAGTTTCCATAAAAGTTAAGGCTGTCTACTTAAATATGAGAAATGGGTAAAGAGCAAATTTTTTATTATCAAGAAAATATATATACTGAGATCTGGTCTTATGCCAGATTAGGACAAGATTTTAGAACAAGGAAACCAAATCTTCCTCTACAACAGCAGACTGAGGTCTACAGACCTAAAACAGATCTGCAAAGATATATAAAGTTTCAATGTTCTCACTATTAAACCACTTCCAGGGAATCAACACATTTTTTTGTTATATATTACATAGTTTCTTGTCTTCAGAAATTTACGGTTAGACCTGTAATAAGAATTTAGTCATTTTGATGCAAATAGTTCCATGATTTTCCCTTTCAAAGTGAAACAGCATTTCTTTCCAATATATTTGGTTGTCAAAAAAGTAGCCCCAGCAGAAAATGCATTAGAAGACAGTCCTTCTTTTTTTTTTAAGGGGAAAAAACCCTCCAAGTCTTATAAATTTTATTTCATACCTTTTTAAATATTTTACAATGATGGTTGCAAGGAAACGTACTGCTGGTGGTGGAATAATAAACGAGAATATCAGTGCATGTTCTGAGAGTTTAAATGTGAAGCATGCCTACTTCTTGAAGACTTACGAATGCAAGTATCAGAGATACATAAGGATTAGCCAGGGGACAATGTGCATAGCAGTTATTTGAGGAATTATGAGAAAGATGAGACTACAGTTCTCATGCACATGGGTCACAGAGCCATGAAATCACTGGTGGAAGTGTGCCACAAAGTCAAGGAACTTGGGATCCAACCTTTGAAACTGGAGATTGCATCTAATTTTACTTGCACTCTGAACACGAGTGTATAACTTGTTTACACCTATTATTCACTAGAGGTTGATTATATATTCCTCTGAAAATCTGAAATATGGACAGCTGAAAGTAATTCACAAGAAAACCTTGGAGGGTCTTCCATTAGCAAATAATTAGGTGAACTGGAATCACAGAATCATCAAGGTTGGAAAAGCCCTTGAAGCTCCTGCAGTCCACCCATGAACCTCACCCTGACTGTTCCCAACTCCACCAGATCCCTCAGCGCTGGGTCAACCCGACTCTTCAACCCCTCCAGGGATGGGGACTGCCCCCCTGCCCTGGGCAGCCCATTCCAACTCCCAACAACCCGTTCTGGAAAGTAATGCTTCCTAAGAGCCAGCCTGACCCTGCCCTGGCGCAGCTTGAGGCCATTCCCTCTTGTCCTGGTGCTGGTTCCTTGGCTCAAGAGACTCATCCCCCCTCTCTGCACCCTCCTTTCAGGGAGCTGTAGAGGGCGATGAGTTCTCCCCTCAGCCTCCTCTTCTCCAGACTAAACCCCCCCAGTTCCCTCAGCCACTCCCCAGGAGACCACCAGCTCCGTTGCCCTTCTATGGAAACGCTCGAGTCATTCAATGGCCTTTTTGGGGTGAGGGACCCAAAACTGAACCCACTCATCGAGGGGCGGCCTCACCAGTGCCGAGTACGGGGGTAAGATCCCTTCCTTGTCCCTGCTGGATAGTAAACAGAAGCACTTGGTGATGTTATATGTCTTTCTAGGGTTTTGCTTTGGGCTAGTTTTAGTCTAGCTTCCCGGACTCTTTCCCACCTGATGCCATGCCTATTAGCATGTCCAGAAGAAAGTCACCTCACAAATATCTGCTTCCTCAGCTGTGGGCCTTTTCTCTAATCCACAGACAACATGAGCATGTCACTCCCCTGACACCACTGCTGAAATATGTCCTCCCACACAGAAGCACTCCTCTTGTCCTGTTCTTGTATTCAAGCCTTATTTCTATCCATTCCTAAGTGACAGCATGTTGTTTGCTGGCCAGATCCCCCTTCCACTCCCAGTCTGGCAAGCATACAAAGCTTCATAAAGAGAGAGGATGGTGGACCTACTCCCACAGCTGCAGTGACTGCTTCAGGATTATACCCCAAGTGAACTAAAGCCAGCCCTGCTTGAGGTGGTCAAACAACATAGAGCTTTTACATGATAGCAACCATTTTCCTCAAAAGTTCAGCCATGTAAAATGTAGATATCCAAATACCTTCTAAGAGAAGGAAATCAGGACACAAAGCTCTTTAAGGACATTGCTAAATTTCCAGGAACTTAATACCATATTGTGTGCATCCCTCAAGTGCAAAATACAGGGTTTATACTCTCTAGCTCCTGAAGATTTTAAGTGAATCGTCAGCATGGACTGAAATTCTGATTGGTATGGGTTTTTTAAAGAAAAAGAACCAATACTAAAATACGACAACCATGCAGATCAGTAACTAAAAGTATTGACAGAAGAATATCATCACATTTAAAATGGTACCACAAAGGATAATAATCAAATCATATGCCCTGTTAGCATTGCTCTTAGCAATGAGATTTTTACCACCAGACCAAAGACAAAGTATTGTTAGAGGCTTTTGAATATGTTGTGGAGAGGAGGAAACAATAATGAAATAAAAAACTTCTGTAAAGGATAAGAGAAGCTTCTTGTGTAGCACATGACAAAATCAGTATTTTGCACCAGAAATTTTCTATCCAATTACTAGATGATGAAAATCTCTTTGACCTCTGACTCATGAAAATGAACTTTATTCTTATGCATTGAGTCACAAAATCATAGAATGGTTTCAATTGGAAGGGACCCTAAACATCATCCAGTTCCAACCCCCCTGCCACAGACAGGGACACCTTCCACTAGCACAGGTTGCCCAAAGCCCCGTCCAACCTGGTCTTGAATCCTTCCAGGGAGGGGGCAGCCACAGCTGCTCTGGGCAACCTGTGCCAGGGCCTCACCCCCTCACAGGGAAGAATTTCTTCTTTACATCTAATCTAAATCTGCCTTCTGTCAGTTTAAAACCGTTACCGCTCATCCTATCCTTACACTCCCTGATCAAGAGTCCCTCCCTGGCCACACTAAGTTCCCCCCAGAGCCTTCTCTTATCCAGCTGAACCCCCCAACTCTCTCAGCCTGTCCAAGCACATTCATGGCCTCCTCTGGCCCCACTCTGAGCAGGTCCGTGTCCTTCTGCTGTTGGTTCCCCCAGAGCTGGACCCAGCACTGCAGGGGGGTCTCACCAGAGCAGAGCAGAGGGGAAGAATCCACCCCTCGCCCTGCTGCCCACACTGCTCTGGGTGCAGCCCAGCACACGGGTGGCTTTCTGGGCTGTGAGCACACATTGATGGCTCACAGTCAGTTTTCCATACACTGACACCCCCAAGTCCTTCTCCTTGGGGCTGCTCTCAATCCACTCATCCACCAGCTTGTGTCTGTGTTTGGGATTGCCCAACCCATGTGCAGGACCTTGCCCTTGGCCTTGTTGAACTCCATGAGGTTTGCACGGTCCCACCTCTCCAGCCTGTCCAAGTTCCTCTGGATGGCATATCCCTTCCCTCCAGCATGTCGACCGCACCACACAGCTCGGTGTCATCAGTGAACCTGCTGAGGGTGCACTCAAGTCACCAAGAAAAATACTAAACAGCATTGGTCCCAACCCCTGAAGAATGCCTCTTGTCACTGATCTCCACTTGGTCATCAAGCTATTGACCACAAGTCTTTGAGTGTGACCAAACAGATTTCTTATCCAGCAAGTGGTCCATCTGTCAAATCCATGTCTCTCCAAATTAGAGACAAAGATGTTGTGTGGGATAGTAACAAATCCTTTGCACAACTCCAGGTAGATGACATCAGTTGCTCTTCCCTTATCAAACAACACTGTAACACCATTGTAGAAGGCCACAAAATTCACTAGGCATGATTTGCACTTAGTGAAGCCTTGTTGGCTGTTACCAATCACCTGCCTGTTTTCCATGTGCTCTAGCATCATTTCCAGGAGGATCTGCTCTGTGATCTTGCTGGGCACAGAGGTGAGACTGACTGGCCTGTATATCTGTATATATATGGCCAGGTCCTCTTTATTTCCCTTTTTAAAAATAGGGGTTATGTTACCCCTTTTCCAGTCAGCAGAAACTTCACCAGAGTGCCACAGCTTCTCAAATACAATGGACAGTGGCTTAGTCACTTCATCCACCAGCTCCCTCAGGAGCTGCAGATGTACTTCATTAGGTCCATTGAACTTGTGCACCTTCTGGTTCCTTAGATGGTCTTGAACCTGACCTTCTCCTACAGTGGGCAGTTCTTCA